AAGAGTGCCTGAAGTTCCCAACTCACTTAACCCTACATAAACAGCTTTCAACCCCAGGCAAACAGCGTTTTACATGAGCTGAGTCCTAAGCCTGCAGTTAACTAGCCAAACAGAACGGGATTGTTTGCTTTCCTGAACTCACCAAGTATTTGCACACAAACGCCCTCACTGCAATGGCAAGCAGAGCACATCCCACTAATCTAAAAATGCGGAAAGAATCAAACTCCTCCACCGCATTCCCGTTCTCTTGGCTTGGCTTCTCATTCATCAGCTGGTTCCTCAGCTTCAGAGCTTCATCAAACCTGGATAAGTACTGCTCTAATCCATGCCTGGGTGGCCGTGCAGCGGCTTCGGATGGCAGCTCCCCTCTGTTACGGTGACGGAGCTCGCCTGTGCCCTCACTGACAAGCTGTGGAGTTTTACTGAACAAGTCCTTATCGCCTTTGAGGTCTCCCAGGCTGCCTGCATGGTCAGCCGATCCGGACACATTAGAGACAGAATCACCGAGCACGATTCTCTTAGAAACAGAAGGAAGAGGAAGGGAATTCGATTTATCTTGTTCGTGTTGAAGTTTTGATTCGACGTGACTTTCGTCATCTAAAGAAGAGAAACAAAAACAGGCAGTTACACACACGGAGCTCAGAACGGCATTTCAGCCCCACCGAGGGTCAGCGCTGACGTCCAGACAGCCCGAAAGGCAACCGCCCGGCGGCGAACGCGCAGGGAAACCCCTGAGGGCACGGACAGCCCTGCCTCGCTGCGTAAGAAACCCGCCGAGCGACCGTCTGCAAGCACCGAGCAAAAGGGCCGGGAAGGGGCAGGGCCGGGATCCCCACACGGCGCCGCAGGGCTCACCCTTGCCCGCCGCGGGCCGGTGGAAGCCCATGATGCGGTTGATCCGTTCTTCCGAGTTCATCAGCAGCTTCCTCCGCCGCAGCTCCGCCCGCCTCTGGGAGGCCGAGAGCCCCGCGGGGGTCCCCGGGGACGCCGCTCCCGCCCCGCCGCCGTCCTCCATCCCCGGCAGAAAGAGGCCGCGCCGCCGCACAAAAAGGGGCTGCGCCGCCTCAACGCGCAGGCGCCGTCACCGCCCACTTCCAGGGCCAGAAGCCCGCGCCGCCACCTCGGTTAAGGGCAAAGAGAACGGGGAGAGCCCGCCGCCAGCCCCTCTTTGACGGGGCCGCGCGGAGAGCTGTGCCCTCAACTAAGATGGCCGCCCCGTTACCGGAAGTGACGTCACAGGGCGAGAGGAAGCGAGGCGGCCCGATCCCCCATCGGGACGGGGAGGGCGGCGGGGCCCCGAGGTGAGGGCTGTAAGCGCATGCAGGGCTCCGCCCGCAGCCCGCCTGGATAAGACACCGAGCCTCGGACACGAGGCTAACGCCCTTCTTACGGTAAAAAGAGGTAAAGACACCACGCTGCACGCAAACCGTCAGAGGAGCGTTTGTAACCGAGGAAGTGCTTACTGATTCACAGGAACAGGAAGCGGAATGCCGTTAAACTGCAGGAGCTCCGCTGGCAGGAGCGGCTCCCGCAGACCTCAGCTGAGTTTAACCTCCAGCACGGCCGTTTCGGGTACAGAAGCACATCACACTTCTGCCCGTGTGACAAAAAGCGGTAAAGCCGGGGACAGCGCCGCCTTTTAGCTGAGCGCTCCGATAGTGACATGCAGTGCGGTGGAAGGACCTGAGAACCGAACCAAACACGGCAGTGGCACGGATTCTTGTCGTCAGTCCGACTGATTTCCTTCACTCAGCCTCGCACTGCATCAGGCCGTGATGTCAGGAGCAGGGCTGGGCCCTGGCCGAGGCCAGCACCAGGAGGGCTGTGCAGCCGGAGCACTGAACGCAGCAGCAGATCTTTACAGAGAGAAAACTAAGGAATGTTTCTGAAATAGGATTCTGTAAGCAAGGGCTGTTAAAGGCAGATTTCAAAGCACCAGGCTCACACATTAACTTAAAATGAACCAGAAGCAGTGATGAGAGCTCATAAAAAAAAAAAACCTGACATAATATGGAATGTATTCCACAATAAAAAGAAGCATCAAAAGAGTAGAGTATTATATGGGATTGCCTACAGTAAAGTTAATCACTGTCCTGAAGGCAGGCTGAATTCCACCCAGCATCACTGGCTGAAAACCCCGATGGACAGCAGGGTTCCATGCGGTGGAGCGCAGCACCAATGAGGGCTGATGAGACAAAGCCCAGAGTAGGGTAAATAGTAATGCTGAATGACAAGGGACAAGAAAATACCATTGACAAACTCCACGTCAACTGGAAGTGGCTTTCCTCAGAGCACCCCCTCCTTCTGAATCACTACCAGTAAAGTTTTACTGGAAGTGGAATTTATCACTTGCTGCTACATGCTATTTATCTTGACTGACCAAATACAGTACTGTACTTTCACTGATAAGAAAAGACTGACGGACTTGAGTGAGTTCTTCCAATTAATTTTATTGAGTAGCCAAATCTGATAAATTAGCACAGATAAAATAAGCATTTGCATGTGTTACAAATGACTTTTTACAGGAATAAAAGAGTGAAAATTACAAACTGTAAAAAGGAGGACAAGAAAATCCTGTCTCAAATTCAGAAGGGGGAAGATTTATCATTTCATACTGAAGATCAAATGTCCAAGTTCAGAAAGGAAAGATTTAATAATACAATATCATACACTACTTTACAAAATTAAATTTACTATAAGGATGACATCCATAATAGTAAACAGAAGCTTAAAATCACATTTAATGGTCCCTTATTTAACAGCCATTTGCATCTTTTATTAAATACTGTTAAGAAGTTAAATCTAAATGAAAGTGAATCATTCTAGTTATTGCAAAACAATCTATGTGGACTTAGACTCAAATATATTAAATTAAAAACAATAATGAAAGCAAAGTAAAATGTATGGTAACAACATGGGCTGAACACTAACGTGTCAAATACAGAAATAAGTTTAAAAAGATTCCTCAACTGGAAAAATAGAGTACATTTGCAGTGGTAGAGCTGTGATGAGATCTAAGAACCAGAGCCACTCTTGCCTGTTTTTGCAGTTCATCAGTGTCCTCATTTTTCAATGGCAGGTAGAGGTGACACATCATGGATAGCTGCGTTCATCTGTCCTTTGTCAGCCTTACAGCACAGCAGGCTTTCCCCACTGTGAGGGAATAAACTTGAAGTTCAATACAGAATTTCTTCCAAGGTGAAAATCCAAGGTGAAAAAGACAAGTTCTGCTCCAAGAGGGTTCATCCAAGCCTTGTTTATACGTTTGGTCTTGTAAAACTTAGGGACCCTAAAAGTTAATCACCATAGACTGACATCCTTAGCTGTTAGCCTGGTATCTGTAGAGCAATGAAGTAATCTCCAACATTTATTAAAAAAAAAAAAAAAAAAAAAGGGGGGCTAAAATACAGCCATCATAAGAAGCAGATTTGGGGTGGGCTGTTAGATGCAATGACAAATTTTCAGCATTCTGAGTGATAATATGTCCAAAACACAAGTTTTAAGTGATAACCTATGCAAGTGCATAGCTTCCATTTAAATTAAGAGACATCTTTCTCTGGGAAAATAATATCCAACTAAAATAACACCCAACTGTCCAAGCGTTAAAAACCTGATGCATTCTGTCTAGAAACTGTGCAATTCTCTAAAAAGCTGTTCAAGTAAAAACACTCCTGTTTGCCACAGAGACAGCAGACAGGGAAACTTAAATAGGTTCCATTATAGTATTTTCATTCCATTTCAGACACTGTTCTGAACTTCACCTTCTCGTGCTCAAGCAAAAAGACAATTTCTCCACAGGAACTCTTCCCCTGAAGTAAGGCAACTCCTGATAATCAAGTGTAGCTACAGCCTGCAATGGTAGCAAATGATTAACCTCTGATGTCCTCTCACATTCGTATCACAAGGTGCAAGCTAACAGACCAGTCACAGTACGTGCTTGACCTCTTGTTTATAAATATTTTACCTGTCCACATCACTTGCCCCAGAAAGACTTTGCAAGACCTTTACATACATCGTTCGACAAAAAGATTTTGTCCGTAAGGCCTTCTATTTGTCACCTCCCTCTTCTTACATCACAGATGTACAGACACAGTAACACAAATACTCCTGATGTTGCTGTCAGATCTCCAAAAGTTATTAATATGCTACTATAAAATGAAATGTTTTTCATACATAAGTTTTCACTTCAAGCCCGGTGTCAGCTTCCACCTGGAGCTCTGGCAGGGATCTGAGAGCACATGTAAAGCTTCCATTGGGTGCACGCTGGCTTTGGATCTAGGCTCATTAAGCAGCGCAGTAAAGAAGTTTTGGAAACTTCAAGCGTGTCTCGAGCCATGAGCAGATCTTCAAATATAATGCTCTTGTCTTTGGAAAAAGTTCTCCAATTTTAGTGTCAGAATGTTGGATGTGGTCTCAAAACACTGTGTTCTAAGTGCCATCATACAAACATTTCAGAAGCACACCGAATTTTAGGGGCCTAACATTCAGTTCATGTAAACAGGAGCACAATGTATCTTAAATAAAAAGTCAGAGATAACCTTACTTGACCTTCCACTCCCACACCATTCAATAACTGAAACTATTCATTTTACTAAAGAAAAACAAAGCTACTGAAATCTACTTCTGCTGCTCACTCAGTCACTGACTTTAATGCATCTCATCTGAGGAGGGCTTGCTTCTCCTTGGTTGTTTTCTTAAATTTGAATACTGACTTACTAAAAGCTTCCATAAATTAAGCCATCTTGTCCAGGTTCAGCTTACCTCGAGTCCTATCAGCCATAATCCATTCCCAACACTGGATTCTATGTTTAATAAAGTATTTGTTCGTTTCACAATGAACAGTTGCTTCATTGCTACTTTAAGCATTCCTAAGCTGAACACGGAGATGCTCTGTGATCACTGGATGCACTTACAGAGAATTTCCCTGCAAATCATGATCAGTTTTGTGAGGTTTTATATCTAGCAGCAAAAAAAAAAAAAAGCAAAGAGTTACAGAAATATACATTTTGAACAACAAAGAACTCTTTATTTTACAAAACGTCTTTCACCTTTTCAGTATTGCCTTTGTGGATGTACTTCATGCTGCAACTACTTACAGTAAAAACATGATTTGCAGCAAATTAAAGGTGCTCAACCAGTTCCAATCGTTTGATTTTTAAGGTACAATATGTAGTTGCACATTTGATTCTCAGATGTGGTCCTTTATTTGCTTTAGTTCGTTGAAATCACAGTGAGAACCTCTCATCGACTGCCTCAGGCCACACATTTCATGAAGGTATTACAAGCACAAGTGTCCTTTACTGCAAAAATCTTCCCTTCCAGTGAGCCAAAGGCTAGTGTTTCATTTATTTACTTGCTGCTGTATGTGAAGGAGGAACTCATAGTATGATAAGGCTGATTCAGTTCTGTCTTCAATCATATTCTGCAGAAAACTTGATTTCAATGGGCTGTCATCCCTTCAAAATAAAAATAAGTGCTTGAGTAAAATAAATACTCACCAGAATCTTCAGTGCTACACATTCAGAACATTACAGATCAAGTTCAAGATATTTCCAGAGCTCAAGAACATATGAAAGATCTCAAGTAGCCCTTGTGAATAACCCCAACAAATACACTCCTCAGAATTCATTTTGTTATCTGACAAACAAGATTCATCTACGACATTTTGACTGTCTTAGTCTGCAGAAGTTCCAAATCAAAGACAACTCACACCTGCTGTTAAGTACAGCATTTAAACTGATAAAACTTGTATTAAGAAAGTACAGTACACAGTGTCCAACTACGTGTAGTAAAAGGTCCCAAAGGTTCTTAAAAACACTTACTTTATTACATATAGGATAGGAAAGAAAGGTCTCTGTTCTCGCAGCCAAGAAATAAAAGCTATTGTTCTGATGGATTCTGCAGTTTCAAGCTCTGGGAGATGAGTCTAAGGTGTAAAGAGTAACATTAATACATACATTATATTTTTCAGGAAAGCAGCAAATGCAACACCTAAAATAGCCCAACTCAGGTACAAAGAAGCCCCAGACACACATTGTGATGAATAGCTTTACTCTGATCCCTTTTGAAAGGGCTTGAAGCAGTGAAGGACACAGAAACTACACCTGCAATTGACTACAACAATGTCATGACCGAGTGATTGCCAATAGTTGTTTTACTGCAGGCAGAACAATTTCCCACTGAATCTCTGAGTCTGATATTTCCAAACATTTGTAGTAGGTTGAGTTCTGATAAACTTCATCACTGCTAACCTGTACTTCATGTCCTTACATGGGAAGATTTACATTTTTTTGTCTGGAGAAACTCCAAGAGTTTCAAGAGCCAACAAATTATTTTTTTCCTCTTGGATCCAGGTTTATAGTGACCACTAACTGGAGGGCTAATATTTGAATACAGCATTCTAATGCCCATGCAGATAGCATACACCAAAGCCAGCACATACCATGTTCTGTGGAATTGACCCATAATTTGGAACTCCAAGGACTTGGCTGATAAAGATCTGCCCACAGTTCTTCCCAATCCACAGAAACATCACCTGAGAGGTAAACAATAACAATCATCTAATGAGAAACTACACCTCAGCAACCTTCCACACATTTTGAGTTCTCAGCAAGAACAGCAAGTTAATGTAAATTGGAATACTACATAAAATCAGCACCACAACTTACAGAGCCAGCATCCATAAGGTAGGCACCTTCCCTACTCAGTTTCTCCACTGATAGCTGCAGAATGGGTGGCTGAGGTATGGTTCTGTCATTGATGTTGAGAGCTCCCTAAAAAGGAAGAACACAGTTCACATCTCCATGCACTGACACAGGCACAAGAACAGAAGGTTAAATAAGAAAAGGGTGTATTATATTGAATATTGAAGTTAGACTGCATAGTTCCAATTACATTTCAAGTACATGAATTACTACTAAACTTCTTAATATTTTGAGGTGTGCTTCATGGTCATCTTCATCAGTTCTACATGCAACTACTGGGAAGATGTGAAACACTGCATTTGAGCTCTGTAGCTTAAATGTGGAGAGCATCAACAGAATTTTCTTTCAACTTCACATAGTTCAAGCCTATGGGACCAGCACAAACAGGCCATGTAACAATGCAAGTGCTCACCTCATCTGTGAGATTATCAACTCTGTACAAACAGGGGTGTGTCATAAGCATGAGGTAAACAAGAGGCTGGTTTTTCACTTGACACATGCTAAAGATGCGTTCATCTAGACGTGCATTTGTCCCAGTTTGAAATGCTTTCTGCAAACAATCAGACATTTGACCATTAAAGACCATAACAGACTCCAAGACAAAGAACTACATTCACCACCTGTCCGAGCATGCATTATCTACTCAGGCCTAAGAGACAATCAACAGGCTTCATTCTACACTGACCTTTCTAGTCACCAAGTTCTGGGGGAGCAGATAAATTGAACTTCTATCTTGAGAGAATTTTATTTGTACAAGAACACTGACAATCTCTAAGATATCTCAGTATTCTGACAAATATCAGACTGGTTTTACTAAGGAATCCAAGTCAAACAGCTTCTCAATTTTGAGTCCTGTGAAAGCACTGGAAGAAGACAGATGCTATTTTGTACATTGATGACACGCTCTTTTCCTTCAGGCTGTCGTGCTAAGCACAGACAGTTATCCTCCCCTGGCACAGCCTCCTTTTATCTCTTACCTGTTTTAAGAGTGCCAGCACATAAAGTGGGAAGAGCCGTAGCGAACTGGGGGCCATGAGACCAGGCTGCTGAATGCTCAGCACTGACGAGCGGTAAGCAGACAGAGAATCTATCACAGCATTGACCAAAGCGTCGCGAGCGTCACTCAAAGTAGCAGAAACTGATCGATCCACAGCTTAAAAAAATAAACATTTTTTGTTTAAAACCTTCTCCACCTTCATGACAATACACCAGACTACGTCCAGGTGATTACATACAACTGGGCTGATGCTTCACCTGGGCCAAGCGTTAAAAACAGAGAGAATCACTCCTTTTACTACCATCGCCCAGAGCATTACTGCTGGAAGCTTTAGGGATGCCATCCACATACATCCAAACAAGCTCTTATCGTGCTTACCCATATTGGCTAACAGCCCAGTGATAGCTTGTACATCTGCCCCCAGGTAGACATCACTCAGTGTTGTTACAACAGGTAAGCACATCGTGTGGACACGAATCCTCCTCTCACCTGTAAGAAAATTAAGAGCTGGAGAGTCCAAATACTCCAAAAACTTCTGTTTTTTGAAGTAATTAGAGAAGAGCTACTAATTATTCAGTAACTTTTACACTTACATACTTGAATCACTTGGATAATTTCCCCATTAACACTACCAGCTGATCTGTGTTTAACCAAACAGGCAAAAAAAATACTAAGATTCAATTTTGTTTATCATACAAACAGGGAAAGAGATTCTTTTCAGCAGCTTTTATAAACTGTTCAGTTTTTAGGATTAACCTATTCACAAACCAGGGCAGGTTCCTCAGGAAACTTTGTGGTCTGGAAGAAGCAGTAACACCAACATGCAAGAACATCACAACTGTTGACATAGGTAAAATATTTTGCTTAAGTCACTGCAACTGAATTATAGCTTATAACCAACCAAAATGACTTCACTGAATATTATACCTGAATGTAAGGAGTTTCAGCTCACAGAATATAGATATCTTACCTTTGCTAGATGTGTACAGGAGAGCTGACTGAAAAGAAACAACCTGCATATCAGTAAGGCTTTCTTCTACTGACATTTGCACAGCATATCCTGCATCTGGGTTTACATTGGGCAAGGACAACAAGTCTGTGGATCGCACAAAGAAGTTCCCATGGAAGGTGTGAATGGAAAGGCCTAAAAGATAAGCATTAGGTTGAATCAATTTTATTTATAACCAGATGTGAAACACAGACACCATTCACAAATACAACATCACTGTTAGATGGCTCTTAACTAACCATTTAAGTTTGTATTAGGTCAAAACACCAATCAATCATTCCCAAACAACAGTGAATACTGCCTGCTCCTCCCCCCCCCACCATTTGCTCCTGCCCCCAAATAAACACATACAAACCTTTGGTGCATCTTATCCTCATGACAGCTTCAAATCCAATCTTCCTAGTTAGATATCTTTTCAACTCCTTCTGCAATTTCTCCACCTGGACAGGGTTGTGTTTGTGATGATAAGACTGGTAGTAATAGACACTACCTGCAGAATATCTTGATATACAACCTGAAACAAAAGGATACAGTGTCAGAGCATCTACAGCTGCTGCTATGTTTTTAAATATACCAGAGGAATGTGATATTTCCTTTAATTACTACACTGTTCACATGTGAAAAAAGCTTTGTTACACAGTCAGCAACACGCACACAGATTCAGCTATATATTCAATTATGGATATAGGCATGGCCTGAAATTACAGGTACTCTGTCACTTCAAAGTTTGGTTACATGGAGAAAAAAAATATTAAAAGCCTATTCCAACAATAGTCTTACACTGGTGGTAGAAAGCAGAAAAGGAACATTTCAACCAGGATCACAGAAATCCACTCAGTAAGGGTCAACATGGATGCTAGATCAAGGAAAGACTGAAACACTGCATTCTGTTCACAGTGCTCCTGCTCATCAAGGATGAATTTGCATCCTGACACGCAAGACTTCTTCACACACTGAATGCTAATCTTCAACACAGAACCCCTGGAGTTACCTGTCACATCACAACTTCATACAGCTCACCTAGAGAAGCCAAGTCAGAATACTGTCCACTAAGAAGAAACAAATCCACTGCGACCTGTTGTCCTGAGCAGTCTAAGGCCAACTTCTTGTAGAAATCAGTTGATGGTGTCAGGTGTATGTCCTGTTAGCACAAGGGAGTATTACAAGACACAAAGGAAATAAGATTAATATATTTACTGCTTATTTTCAGGGCACTAAAATTAATCTTTTATCACTATTTCAGTAGCATCTTTAAAAAACAGGCAACTCAAGAGCCATACGTACATACAGAACAGGGCTATCAGTTCTCTTAACCTTTTTAGCTTTCCTAACCTTTGCAGTTGCTCTTTGGTTTGGCTCTTCTCGAGATTTCAGTGCTCCCATTCCCACAGATGGAAGCTGTGTCTGGAAGACAGAGATTCTACCTCCAGTAGGGGACATCAGTTTAAAGGCTGCCTGCAATGCAGGCCCAAGAGCACTCTGAGTTTCCAGGGACTTGGTAAACATCTGTGGCAAGCTCTTCAGTAGATCTTGAATTAGCTGCAAGTTAGAAAATAAAATTAAGACAAAAGTCTTAGGAGTTTTCTTCTTTATCAAGTTTATTACTGAGTCATAAATATGTATTAACACTTCCAGTATTATAGCAGTAGATAAATCCCAGCAAAAGTAAACTATTGTCTTGCTTTAGATTGTTAAATGTTTAAAGCCAAGCAGAAGTCAGAAGACTTCAAACTTGACATTAAAACTTCAGACATTAAAGAGCACTAAATGAAACCATGAACTGTCAAGCACATCTCATTACATGCGTGTCATTTTCCACCTAACGCAGCTCTTACCTCTTTATTTTCATTTAAATTTACTAATAGGTTTTCTGGCATTGGTATAAATACATCTGGAAGAAAAAAAAAAGTGTTAATTGTTTCTTAATGAAACAGAACAGGCTTCCCCAAGTTTTATTTCCCAACCATTATCCCTATTAGAAAAACAAACTGCATCATTGCGTAAATCCATACAAACATTAACCTTTTTCCCCTGATAAGCATAGCTGTGGCTACACTGCCACTTCAAAATAACAGCTGAAAGCATTGAAGGATAGAAAAATCTATTAAATAAAAATGCACAGGAACATTTTCAAGAGTGCTTCTGCTCCTTAACCTGAGTAAAAAGCGCTTTGAGAATATAAGCAGAACATCACTAAACAGTCACTGAGAATTTGTACCAATTCAGTTTTGATCATAACAGAAATTTAGGTAGCTACACAAACAAAGCTACATGTTGGGAAGGCTGTTCTCATGTTTAAGTCACAAACAGCCACAACTTGCTCAGACATTCAGAGCTTTGGCAAGAAACCTTCCTCCACAGCCATTAACAGAGAGGATAATGACTGGTCTGCCAACACTCACCACACATATGCTTTTTTCAAAGGGCTATCAAAAGCAACAGCCATTAATACACACTAAAGCTATTACTGCATACCTTCAATATCTGAAACTATAAGCATCTGAGGCTGAGAGAGACCTTCCTGAAGACTGTAGAAATGGATCGTGCTGTCAAATGTTATGAAGCCTATTTTTGTTCTCGTGTTCCCAGGAAGCCTAAAAGAGTCAGACAGATGGTGTTCAGTAAGATGAAATTTCATTTCTGCAAGGCTTTTTTAAATACATTCGCTGTACCTGTCTAAGGATGCTAGCAAGTAGCTTAACAGCTATACTGCAAACACTTCAGTCACATCAGATTAAAAACAGGAGCTTGTAGTAGAATCACCTAGCAGACATTCAAGACTTTTAAGGCGAGTAATAAAAATGGATTAATAACACTTAGAAAAAAAAAGTCTGTGGTTCCAAACACAGCAATAAGTGCTTGTTTTGTTTTTCTCATTTCAATTAAAACCTTATTCTAGAATCTAGCCTTCCAGAAGAGAAGCCATAAGAGCATGCTGTGCTAAGACAATTGTCCTACTTAACACTGGACTTTGAAGACTTAAATTGTAGCCCCCTTTAGAAGTCTGCAATGGCAATCCAATGGTTCCTTCCAGAAAGGAACAACACCTGAATAATTCTGAGTCAGCTTTCAGTATTTTCCAATGCTAGTCAAGTAGAAGGATGGATACATATCTATATTTTAGCTTTTACAAAGTACAATTGAAAAGACATCATTAATACATGTACTCTTTTCTGGGATTGACAGCAGATAGGAAATGAAGAAATGCACCTCAGTGTTGCTTTATATACTGGTGCAGCTGTGACAGGAACAGAAATGCAAGAAACTGCTGGGCAGAAAGCAGTGCCATGTTAATGTCTATCAGGTTCCACGAGGAAAAGAGGACATTAAGAACAAAAATATTACTTACAAGTCAAGATTGTCCAACAAAGTCTTGCAGACTGTATTCAAGTATCCTGTCTCTATTGCATTATGAGAGACATCAAATACAAAGAGGTACACAGGTGGCTGAGGTGGACGTAACTAAATGAAGAAAATATTACCTTTGATTTTCAAGGTGATTTTTATTAGGCTGTGATAATTCCACTGCAAATACAAATGATGTCAAAACTTCTAAATACATTTCACTTATTTGGTAACTCTGTAATTGTGGTTTCCTTTCAAAATGCCCACAAACACCCACATGTTCTAAATAGAGAACACTAAGATCATAAATGTTCATAAAAGACAACCTATTTGAAGTAACACCCAAGGCTTCTTAGATGTACTTCAAGCAGCAGTAGCTGCTGTAATGAAATGGAAAGCATCCTCTATAAAGAGGATTTTTTTTCCTGACTTCCCTGTGGAAATAAAACAAAGGGAGAGAATAAGTCAAAGTAAAATCTCACCATGTATTCAGATGGAGCCATAAATTCAATCGTAGCGTTCTGGACTTCGGGTCTTTTATGAGGTTCCCCATAAACTCTTGTCACAGGATTATACATGAATTCTTCAGGAACTGTGCAAATAAATTAACACATTACTAGTCCACAATAGCATTAGTTGTGCTACAATTTAAAATTCAGCTCTTTTGAGCTCATTGTGCAATGCTACTTGTAGCACTGGATTAGATGTGGCAGCAACTTTGTCAGCTGCAAGGGTACCATGGAAGACCACCACCAAAGACTCAGAGTCTTTGCTGGTGGAGAACATTTCTCATGTCCACAGAGCACAACAGATGAGCCAATAACACTGAGAGGGCCAAAACTGTGATGGCATCAAAGGATGAGGTATGAAAGCTCAACCACAGCAGTTTAAAACAAATAAAATTTAAACCTACCATCGTTCACTCTATAGCACAAGTTGCATTTCCATCTCCTTTGGTCTAGAAAGCTGACAAAAGGATTAATGTATGTCCGGCAGGAACGACATCTCACAATAGTACTTGAAGTAACCACTGGCAATTGCTGGAAAAGAAAAGCTTCCTATTTTAAAACATCAACACTACAGCCCTTCATCTATGGCAATCATCTACACTGCAGTTCCTGGCCACTCAAAGCATACTTCTGCCCATTTCTGAACCCATGAAGCACCTGCACAAGGTTCCTTAACAATAATACTGGTTGGAACCTAGCTCTAATGTTTTTTTTTGGCTGCATATTCTCCCCCTTCAAGCCTCTACAGTCCTTAATTTCACACTGATGGTGTAAGATCAAGATCTACAGCAAATACAGAACAAACATCAGAATCAACACCACCATATCCGGCAAAATTCCTTCACTTGTGGAAAACAGCAACATTGAGAAGATGCACTGATAAATTCAAAGTATTCAGGGAGGACAGTCAAACCCCTTTCACTTTGTTAATGCTTAACTACATTACAAAAAAAACCAATAACAACTGTCACCTGAGAAAATACAGCCAACTAACAGTGACATTTACTTATATCTTCATGTATTTACACGTGTTGCCTCTAAGCTTGTTTTTTTCTGAGGTTTGGCACTCTTGTTGTTTGTTAAGAATCGAGGCTTGAAAGTTTAAAAGTGGCAGGGAGAAAAAGTCTCAGATAAATGACAGCGAAACAAATTTTAAATGCCAAGATTAGCCAACACAGCTGCCCTCCTTTTGCAATTCATTCGCCAACTACAGTGATATTTCAGCATTCAAAGTTCTAAATATTTGTCATACCGATAAGTCTTTGAAGGGATGAAGCAGGAGCCCTAAAGGAAGCTTGGCTTTATTCAGTAAGGCCTGAGTTTGAGGAATGTTAGTCAGAGTACAGCGGAACAACCTACACAGAAGATAAAGGGTTATTTTGATTACTTTCAGATAATAAAATGATTTCAGTGGAACATAACATCCTCCACGTTTTTCAGAGCTGATAATGGTGAACATCCACTTCCAAATAAAATACCCTCTCCAACTCTGTCACTGTTTCATTTTAGTCACAGTGTATATTTTGAGCTCTTTCATTACACTGTACAGACACTCTTTATGCAGCACTGCTGCCACTTTAGTGATTCAAATCAAAGGTTAGCCCAACAATGCTCAAAGTTGCAGCTAATCTTGATACACAAAGCAGAAAGTTGAACCCCTTTTTGAGATGGCCTTATGCACCGATCTGAACCAGCAAAGTTTAAAACAACAAACAAGTGCACAGTTGTAACTCCAGAACTTGGTGGTTTTCACAAAGGCAGATGTGCACAACACTCGTGCAAACCTGGCACGGCTGTTTGTGAGCCATTTCTCAAAGGTGCTGCTTCCCTGACCTCTTTGAAAAGGCTTGCAAAGCAGGAGGGCCTGGTCGTACGTGGTTTGGTTGGTTTGCTCAGGGAGATTATTCCAAGTACAAACTCTTGTTTGACATTCCATTTACTCCATTGTTTCAAATGGTTGCTCTCAGTACAGACGTAAGCTGTTTCTGCATTCACAAACTTCTTAATGTACCTCCCTCAAGTAAGTTAACTCTTATTTAAGATCTCAATCACACTCACTGCCAGCTACACCACAAAGTTTTTACACTCTACCTATTTATAGTTGCCTTGCAAGCAATATGTTTTTACTTGTATTTTCTACACAATTTCCTGGTGACAGAGGCTTAGAAAATGCTCTTAGCAGCAGCTAAGAACCCTGACAAAGATTGTGAGGGTTATGAGATGCTTGTTATAGATCTGAAGACAGAGTTACTGTCCTAGACAAAAACAAAGATAGCAGGCCATTAAAATTCTGATGTCTGCACCAGAAAATGGTCAGCTCTGCAACTGCCTCAATCTTGAATCCAGAGAAAGGAATACAAGTCAGAACTATTTGTCAGATTTCACTATCTGTGGAACACCTCGTTACTATCTAATGAATCCCATTAAATTATCTTTAGATTCCCAACGAAAAGCAACAGCAATTGGATACACATGCTTCCAAAAGACCTGCAGTAGAACACAACTAGTTAATTAATGCTATGTTACTCATTTAAGCACCATATTTTGACAGTCTCTTAAGGCCTTAGCAAACATCTCCCAGATCATTTTTCTAGAAAATACATATAAATCTTTTCTCTAACTGAAAAAAAAAAAGTAGCTTACAAAGAAACCCCAGTTTTTGATCCCACACCCAAGGGAACCAATGGCACTGGCTGTACTATGACATGAGAAATTAGGGGACAGTTTGAAGACCACAATGTCAACGGCTAAAAACCAGTTATCAGTGAACTTAAAAGTATAATAAATACATTCTACATTGTTCCCTCACTTCAGAGCTTTAACCACTTACCACCTTTACCTTAACAGAGTGAAGCCTGCTTTCAATCTTTTTCAACTCACAAAGTTAAAAATATTAAGTTACATTTACAACTAGTGATTTATTTCTTTTGATGAGTTACAGCAAATGGATAATCTTACTCTGGGTTACAGTTGAGCTTCTGGATGTCTTCATGCAAGTTTGGGACAGGAGCCTGGAGAAGGGTTGTAGGAAGAATATTTCTTTCTTGAAGAAGATTCACAGGTCTTAATCCCTCTTGCTGTAAACTCAGGCTACCCAAAGATGCATTTAAGTGATTAGTGCCTAGGGGAGGCTAAAGTCAAAATTTCACAAGTTAACATTGATTATTTGGGTGAAACAGTCCACTTCAAAAGCAAACATTTTTCTTTCAAATTTTGAGTTTACTGTCATTGTATTATGTTTAGAAATGCTACTGCTGCTTAGGTTTGTAACATAACAGAGGTTAAAATTACCACAGGCATACCACAAAACTCTTGGAATACAGAAGCCAAGCTGGCAAAAGTATTGGCCAGTTTGGTTTGAAAGCACAGGAAAAACATACTTCAGCTAGCAATATGACATGAGGTATGAAAAGCATGCCTATAGGACATCTTAGAAAACTAATAATTTTTGAAGACTGATGTTCTAAGGAGATTTAAAAATAAGACTCTTCAGAAAGAGCTAGCATCATTTTTCTAGACTGCTAACAAAACAACAAAAAAAGCATAAGTTTCTGGTTATGTCTGTCATCTTGAGCAAACTGCACACCAAACTGTCACCCATAACCCCACAGAGATACAACACAGATCACCACACTTTTCTTTATTCTTTATTCAAGTGAATTGGCTTAGTAACATGAAACAAAACAAGAACTTCACCTGGTGGAAATGTTTTGATCCATCTGGATATTGCAAAGCAGATGCTTGCACTCCTGGTGCTCCAGGTGGAGAAGTATTTTGGTAGCCTGGTGGCAATGCAGGATAAGAATAGCCTACATTTCTATTCATCTTCAGATTTGCAGGTGCAGAAGGATGTGGGGTTGCTAGAGGCAGAAAAGACATACCTGAAATGAACTGCTGAACTGCAGGTTGGTCAACTCATTATCAAAGAAGGACTTTTTGTTGTTTAATTTTTAAGTGTAAACAAGTGACAAGTGCCATCAATTTTGCAACGCTAACTGCTTTAGAATTCTTACATGTCAATGTCAAACTGTCAATGCCTCAAGTAATCACTTTTAGTTTCAAGTCAGACATTAGATAAAGTAGACATCTGTACCTAAACACCTCAACTTCCATCTTTTCCAAACAAATCTCTTCTTAAACAAATTACTCAATGGCAAAGATTTTTAATTCCCAAACCTTACCCATGAGGCCACCTCCTTCTATTGCATCATAGCTGTTTTGGACCGCAGACCCATCGCCAGCAGCAGATGTAGCATCACCTATTAAGGAGGAGTCCAAGCAAAAATTAACAAGTTACAAACAAGTTGAAACAAGGTAAGTGAGATGCAATTCTCTTTGCTGAATGTATATGCAGATCAGCATAGTTTTGATCTACCTTTGACTCAGGGCGAAACTCGATTAAGCGTACATCTTGTCCTATTTCTCACATCCTTCCTTGCTTCCCCTGCTGACATGACCTCAAAGGACATTCAGAAAAAACCTACAAGCTTTCTCAGGGAAAACATGTGAAGGTCTACATGTCTGGCTGAATGATCTGCTAACATTACATTAGGCATACTTCATAAATTCCAAGCTAATAAGTGGGAAATTGTCAGGGCACTTCTCATTCTCATCAGAGGAAGGCTCTGTATGTTGGCTGCAGTTCACAAAGACTCTTGGAATTTAGGTACCAAGTTCCCTGACTACTTTTTCCACCGATTGCACATGGAAACATCAAACTCCCTTCACTTTTACACTTAGTCCAGTACTGTTTACAAACCATCAGCAGTTCTGATATGGTCACACAAATTCCACTTGAGATAAAAACCTTGAAATCGAGTGTGCTCCCAAAGGACAACTGGGCTCGTTGCCACCAACTAACTAGACCAAGCTGTGCTGGGCTCCACACAGCCTGGCCTTGAACACCAGCAGGGATGGGGCACAGCTGCCAAATCCAAATTCAACAAAAAAGAGCAAATTGTTTCTCACCTTCTTGATTTGTAGCTGAATGTAGCAGAGATTGTGTGTTAGGTGCTCCTGCTGTCACTGTGGATGGCCTAATTAGAGGTGGACCACCAACGGGAGGAGGTCCCAAAGGTGGCCTTGAGGGAGGGTGGAGAGGTGTTAAAGGCTGAGTCACTGGTGGAGGTACAGATCCTGTAAACAGATTAGTTTTAGTTCAACCCAACTGAAGGCAACAGAAGACTCAGAACACACAGATCGAACTCTAGATACGTCTCTCATTAACATGATACACAGCATGAAATAAATCCTAACATGCACACAGGTTTTACAACTTCAGATTCTTTCTGCCATGCTCCTGATAAACTGTGTTCCTGTAGCTGTTAACCACAATCCTTTAGTTTTTGGGTCTCTGTTTGGTATTTTTTTTTCCTCCTCTCTTCACAGTTCTTGGTAAGAATTTTAAGAGGTACAGAAAGCATCCTGATTTCTATTACAAAGTCTGGACATCATGAATTTTAGTACATCCCCAAATTAGACAGCATATAACAAACTAGAAGAGCCTAATGCAGATTGCTTCTGACAGGAAGCTCACCTTCCACTTCAATAACCTGATGCAAAATAGCAACGTACAGATTCTGCATCTGTAAGAGGCTGCCACAGGCTGGGCAGGCAGCTGGCAGATCTTGGTTTGAAGGATGAGCATAATCAGCACAACCAGATAAACTCATTTTAAAGTGAGCACCGTTCCACAGAACGCTACCAGGGAAATTGCTCGGGAAGATTCACCATTCAAAGGAGATAAGAATTCTCTCTCATAAGCCATTTCCCAGGATTTCTCATTGCTTACCATTTTAAGCACTGACTCCAAAATATTATTTCAATAAACTGTCATGCAATTAGCTAGGCATATATCAAGAAGTCAGCATCAAGAAAAACATTTAATGAAGCTAAAAAGTATTTCATCGGATTCGCTTTAACACGTAAAATATTTCTATGCTTGGTTCCTGTTATGCTCAGAAAGCTGATTAAAAATACTCTAATAGCAAACAACAGTTTGGCAAAGTAAAAATTGAGTATTAAGGTGGGTTTCCCACAACACTTAAAAGTTACATTACGAAGTTACTTAATATTATCAAAACTTTACAGCTCAAAACACAGGAGGAGAAAACAGAAGGCAGGCTGCAGAAGGACCAGCTTCTTGTATCTTGCACTTTCAGAATTCTTCCCAAAGACTGACAGTTCTGATCCAGTCGTAAAATCTGAAGTGGGGATGAAGTTCTTCTTTCAGCTGCCCTCTATTTCAACAACACAGAATGCTTCCCAGTTTTCTTCCCAGGCTGTGCTCAAGCTGGTTGTCTCATCCTTACTGAGGCCATTCTGAGAACTTTCAGAATCAGTCCACAGAAAAGCCAGTGAGATTTTAAACTGCAGAAAAGCACACTAAATGCAACCAATTTTCATCTGGGAAGTCCATAAGCCCTCACGTGACTGACGCATGCAAATACTCCAACACTCCAAGGAAAAAAACCAAAGGCAACAGAAACAGCCTTACCCACACACAGCTTCCCAGAACAGAAGTTACCTGCTTCAGCCACTCAGGCAAAATGCAACTTCTGCACAAAAACTTCTATTGCTCATCTAAAGAACCCACCCTGATGTTTATGATATGCATTTTTTCAAGTATTTGTTTTGACAGCCTAAGCAAAAGGCTGCTACAGAGTGAATTTTATTACCAACATCATTTTTTAAAATGGACACAGAGGTGGACACCAGCAGTCAATTAAGAGAACATTATCAGAAAGTTATGATTACCTGGCTTCATATAGCTGTTCTGAAGCGAAGGACCTCCTGGAGAAGCAGCATACTGATAACTTGCTGGAGGATTTCCTGATAGCAGCAGCGGTGGCTGAGCAGGCCCTGTCCCTGCCACAGGAGCTGAATGGCTTGGTTGAGCTGCAGCTGGGTGGCTCACAGGAGCCTGGCTGTACTGCCAGTTGGGATGCATTGGCGGGCTAGCTGCAGGAGGAAAGCCACCAGGAGATGAGATAGCAGCTGAGTTTTGCAATGCAGGTGGCAGCACTTGTGGCACAGGACCTGTTTGTTGCACCGGTGAGCCAGATGGAGGTGCTGCTGGTGGCCTATTGAGAGTCTGCCCAGGTCCTTGATAACTGTTGAACTGAGAAACATTCTGAGAGCCACTGTAGTTATACTGTCCAGAAGATGGATGTGGAGGAACCTTTGATGGCGTCTGAGGCGAGTACGGTCCTGGAAGTGATGGGCTGTATCCCTGGGCATCTGATGAACGCATCATTTGATTTTGAACAGGACCTAGAAGGAAAAAACCTTTCAGTCTGCATTGCATATTGCTTCTGAAAATAAGACGTGACTCTGGAATTTTCCTTCCTTGGATTCTTATTAGTCCCCAGGCCACAAAAGACAAGTAACACAAGGGTCCCAATTTTGATAGCATTTTGTTATCAACAGCTGCAATCTTTCTAATTATTATTATTATTTTACAGTGACTTCACAACCGTGCAGCTCACAAAGCGAGTGGCTGAACAAAATCCATGCTCTCTGCAATTCACACAGGGCTATTTCCACCTTCAGAAGCACTCAGAAGGCCATCAGCCACAGAGGCAATGTGTTTGTACACAGCTGGCAGGGGCACCAGGGAGCAGTGGCAGCAGAACCCGTCCTTACATCCAGTTTAAGGACTGGCACTGACTTAAACCTCATCTTATAGCAAAGATGCAAACAGGTTCAGCTCAAGTCCCCATGCTATTTCTCGAGTGACAGAGCTAATCCACAAAAGGTTCTGCAGCTAATTTTAGTGAGAGCTTCTCATGCACATACAGCTCACATAACCAACTGGTCAGGAACATGGAGTGAAGGATAATTTACCAAAAAATAATTCACCCATCAAGAAAATAAAGCTTGACAGTGCTTCGTATCTACTGGGTGCCACAGCTGAACTAAGCTGTAATCTTTTCCATTTTTTCCTGAAGTGATCAACTCAAAACAGCAAACAGCACCAGCAGAGCATCACCAGATTTGTCTAACACAGGAACACAGACAGTTCTGTGAGCTTTCCAGTACATTAAGAGCACCATCAAGAAGGATGATGCTGCAGGTTGTTCATACTGCTGCCACAAGAATAATGTTGCAAGGGCAACATTTCCAAGCAAAATCATTCCAGCAGAAGGATAGATAACCCATGCCACAGCTAGACACAACGTACACAAACACACCAAGCACTTTCCAAGGCTGTATCATTTATGTTAGCCAGCCACCCTGCTGCACTCCACCCCTAAGCACAGTCTGAATGTTAGAGACAATCCACATACACAGTTATAAGCATGAAATCCAAAGAGATCCTCGCTGTAATTTTGGTGTACAATTCTTCTTTGCTACCCTGTACTACTTCACAGATTTCCAAAATTATTTTTTGGGGGGAAAAAAAAAAAAAAAGAAGAGCCTAGAAAAATAAAAGTACTTAGCTTCTAGATCAGAAACCACAGCAAGATTCAACACATTTTCAAAAGCATGCTATGAAGATGAGCACATAGACAGACATATATTTTGCATACAGGTACCGGAAACAGCTGCCACCAGTATGAAATCACAGAGTTTCATTTAATGTCAAAATAACAGCTGGTTTCTTAGCTGCCTTTGCTTACCAGAACTTTCCAGTTACATTTTAAGAGCAGAGGAAGTTCACATTTCCAAGTTGACATAACTTTGAACTCAGGCACACACGACAGTTAAACAAGCTAAACAACACAGAAATACCTGAGTGAGGACGAACACTGCGACTGCCACACAACTCCTCATTCCCTAGAAAGCCCCAGGGTGCAGTTCAGAGACAGCTGTCACCTCCCTGAACACTGCATCTCCATGCTAACTGCTTAGCTGGGGTTCTACTACAGCACTGCTGACCTCATCCTCGCTCTGCCTGTTATTTGTGCATGAACAGCACACACATATTATTCTCCAGCCATTAGTCTCAATAAGCTATCTGCCATTCAGTTAGGAAATCCAGTTATAGCTCACTGGCCTTGCAATGCTGCTCATAAATCTTATTAATTACTAATGCTTTAAAATCAATGATGTCCAAACGAAAAGCTTGCAAACATAAGAATTCCCACAGTTCTGACTCACCTTTGAAAATTACCCTGCAGCATATCAGATGGGTTTTCAAAAACTGATTTACAAAATGAATTGTAAATTTAACTTGCTAGCTGTACAAATGACTAAGGTTTCTTATGTAATGCCAGGCCCCTGACTATATCACAGTATATTGATATAACATTGCAGTATGTTGCATAAAAGATACAGAACAAATAGTAATTAATTTTATAGCTTGATTATTCAGCTTAGGGCACGAGTCGGTAGCCTGGTCAGGAATCAGAGTATTTAGCTCTCTTTTTTCCTGTTTGAGGGATAATACTGAAGATAAAGCAATGACAGTGAGGTGAAACCCAAACATCAAGTGACCTGATCTTTCTGTGCCACTTAGTGATCAATTAGATTTTGGAAGCAGCATTCTAAACTTCAACTTCTGTTTTTACTTTCTGAAGTCGTAAGTGCAAAGAAAAGCCTCAATAACCTACACCAGTGGAATTCCCCCATAGGCTGCTGCTTCTTTCCTGCACTGCTCCATGAAGCCAACAATGAAATCAGCGTGGACTGAAGATCTAAATCAAAACAGCAAAGCCACCAACACTCAGCATACAAGAGAAGAGTTAGTAACATAAGAGAGGCCCCCAGTCTAACAGTGGAAGACAACTCTACACAGACAAGACCATAAGAAATTTCAAAGAGGTCAGGAGCAGCACTGAAACACATGATAGCTGCTCAACAATTTTATAAAAGCAAAGAATGAGCATGGAAGGCTATGGGAGCCACATTCTCTGCTATACAGAACCTCAGTGTCACTTCTCTGCAGGCCCACCAACGAGCACATTGCTCTCACCAGTCACAGCATCTCCAGCCCCAGGGAGAGCAAGGCTGAACACACTCCATCACGTGGCAAGGACCCCCAGCAGCACCCCATTCCACAGGGCCTTACCCACTGCTTCCAAGCAAACCAAGAGCAGGCCAAATCCAAAAGCTTTTGAAGCTCTGCGTGGCCTCAAAGCACCATGCCAGGATATGAAACTAAGACAAGCGACAGATCCTAAAAGAATTTCTCCATCTTGCTTACATTTCAGACCTATGAGCTACAGATTATCGATTTGCTTTTCAGTGAAGAGAGAATACCAATCCTACAAAAAAAACAACAACACAAGTGAAGTGGAGGAAGGCTGTTACTAAGCAACCCGATGCTCACTGCCAAACCATTTCCAGGTCAGCGTAGGGTGCTGCTGCTACAGCCATTCACTGTCAGGCCCAGCATGCGAGCTCTGGGAGTTACCTGCAAACAGGAAGGTGAGCAACAGGTTGAGAGAAGATCTGATGCCATTATTACAGTTCATCATTCTGCTGGCAGCTTTCTTTCCTCACAGACCATTGTAAATGGTGTAACAGCGTTCTCTAGATTGCTTTTATAGAATGTATTTTCCTGAGGTAGCCTTGGATCACAGCACCTTCTCAACATATTTTATACATATATCTGTATACTGTAACTGATTAATTCTACCACCCTGTGTTTGCACAACTTTAGATTTCATCTCTTCGGTTTTCATACAGCTTTAGCCTGAAATGTGTCTTCCTGCTACTACTACCTTGCAACAACTTGTACTGTGTGCTTAGTCTGACTACAAATCAAATATAAAATGATGCCAACACGTAAATCATCCCACTTGGTTACTCCATTAGTTAACATTCTTTCTGTACATTCTCTGCCTAGACTATAAACTCTCCAGAACAGAGGCTCTCTTTTCAGATTTATGTATCCACGTCCCACACTGCTGACCCTATGAGCTGCAATACACTTGTTTTTAAGATGCCTTTTCAGAAGTCATAAGCACTGGGAAAGAAGAAGGGGGTGACAAGTCAAACCATTTAATTACCCAGCTGTAAAGCAGGAAAATCAAAAGAGCTCATTATAACTTAATTGTCTTGATGCAGCATAACCACTAAAACACATAACCATCCAATTAAGGAATGAAGTTCAGGGGATGCTGGAAGTACATATGAAGTCAGAAAACACTTTCCAACAGCACAGATTTCCACACATGCAAAGCAAACAGAGACAAGGCTGCCTTTGTGCTTCCTTCTTGCTAGCTCAGAAGGTCAGCTAGCTATTTGGTATCACCTTCAGCATCTGGCTTCAAAAAGATGTATTTTGAGTAGAAGAAAGCAGTCAAGGCTTTCCTAGATCAGGATGTACAGAACAAGACAATATTGGCTTTACATGACAGACAAGATAAAACACAGTGAGCGAGTGACTGCCTGAGCTCAGCAGGGTCCTCCTCCGGGCAATAAGCTGTGCCACATGTACAGCTCGGTTCCAAAGGGCCAGGCTCACTTGGCTGTTGCAGTGTTATCACAGGTGGGGACACGGCCTGAAGTAATGACTAACACAAACCATTTAGAACAGAACATTTTGAGCTAGAAGAGACCCACATGGATCGCTAGGCCCAACCCCCAGCCCTAAATAGGACCACCAAAAAAAACCAAGCCCTATGGCTGTGTCATCCAAATGCTTCTCAAACTCCAGCAGCTCGAGGCCATGCCCATTGCCGCGGGCAGCCCATTCCATGCCCACCTCCCTCTGGTGCAGGACTCATCCCTAACCGCCCGCCGCCCCTCCCCTGTCGCAGCTCCACGCCGTTCCCTGGGGCCCCACCGCCGTCCCCAGACGGCAGAGCTCAGCGCTGCCCCTCCACTGCCCGTGAGGAGCTGCAGACAGGCAGCACGGCACGCAGCACGTTTCACCTAGCTAACACACAGATTTCCCCGTCAGCCCACAAGGATGTTCACACCACTAAAAGAAGTGGGAAGAGGGTCGCTTTGCCCCAATAACGACCCTCCGAGACGCTGCAAGCAACGCACACCGCTCCGCGTTTCCCGACCGGAGGCCGCCCCGCACTGCTGCGTGACGCGGTTCCCCCCGCCGCCAGCCCCGCTGCCTGGGGCCTACCCTCATCGCGGGCCGCCCGGCGCCCCGGGGACGTGGCAGCACCAAGGGAGGCGCCGGGCGCCCGAAGGCCTCGAGGCGGAAGCAGCACCCGCCTCCCCCCGCCTCGGCTTCTCTCCCAAGCGTTTCGTCCCGTCTCACCGTTGCTGTAGGGCTGCTGGCCCGCGCCGTTCTGGCTACGATAAGCGGCGGCGGGCCGGGCCGGCTGAGCCATGGCGGCGCTGAGCCGGGCCGGGCCGGGCGGGGTCGGACAGAGGCTCAGCGGAGCCGCCCGAGTGGCGGCGCCCGGCCCAGCGCTGCGAGAAGGGGCGGGGCTTCCGCACACCGGAAGTACGGGGCCGCGCACGCGCACTACGTACACGTGGCACTTCCGGAAGCGGCGGCGCTGCAGCAAGTGGGCGGGACGGGGCCTCTTAAAGGGACAGCCGAGGGGCGGGGCAGGCCGGGCCGTGGGCGGGGCCCGGCCCGGCGGTGCCGTCGTGCGGGAACGCCCCGCCCCACGGGCCGTGCGACGTGTCCGGGCGGCCCGTCACCCGTCAGGGCAGGGAGCCCGCGTGTAAAACACAGGGTCATCGCTACAGAAATTGCTTAAACGTCCCCGCGTTCCTCTCGGTCCCCACTGCGAGTCCGCTGTCGGCGGGGCGGCACTGCCGTACGCGGTGCTCGGTGAGAGCCGGCGAGTCGCCGTGCGGCACCGCGGAGTGGGAGCCCCAGTTCGGCGAACGGACGGGATCCTCAGCGCCGGGGTGCGGTGACACGGCGCCGCTCGAGCCGATCGGGATACGGGAGGCCGTGGGCCGTGCGGGGGACGTGTGGGGCACCGAGCTCGGGGTTGTCCCCCGCGTTCCGCCCAACTGCGGAGAAAAGGTGCGGAACGCGAGGAGAGACCGCCCGCCCTCCGCCTCCTCCACGGCAACGCGGGGACACGCGACGGATCCGCGCCCGGCCGACGGCGGCAAGGGGGGAGGCGCCGGGCGGAGCTCCGCGCTGTGCCGCACGGCCGGCCCGGGCCCGGAAGGCGCCGCGCGGGGGGCGGAGCGGGGATCGGCGGCGGGGTCGATCGCTGTCGGTGCCGGTGGAGCGGCCGGAGCTGAGGCTCGGCGGTGGTGAGCAAGGGGACGGGGAGCCGACGGGGCGAGGCCTCGATGCCGACCGCGGCCTCTGGGGCTCCTCCGCGGCGCGCTGCGGGCGGTGCCGAAGCCGCGGCCTGCCCTCGTCCCCGCCGCTCGGCCGCCGCGGGCTCCGGCCTAAAGCGGCCTGCGCGGGTTGCGCCGCGGAGCGGCCGGGCGCGGGGCGTCAGGCGGCGAGAGCGGCTGCGGGAACGGCGCTTCGGTACGGCCGGGCCGGGCCGTGGCGGTGGCACGGATAGGACGCGGCGCTCGGAAGGGTTCGATCCGCGCTGGGTGCCCCTCCCGTCGGCTCGGCATCTCCTTGGTCGCAAATACCGCTAAAAAACACCCCTTGTCGTGGGAAAATGGACGAGTTTCGCGTTTCTGCCCGATGCTTCCCTCCCTACTATTAGTTTTCTCTCCGCACTCCTAGCAACAGAAAGATCCATTGTTCTCTGGGTCAGAGATGCTGAGCTGACGGCTATGAAGGCTGCCGTGTGCCTGCTGTGTCTTCTTCGGGCTCTCACGGCTGTGTCAGGCTGCTTTGGGTACATTTATTACTGAATTCTCATCCGGATTTCTGTGCCGTTATCACAAAAACAACCCACGGTCCTCCTGCTAGTAGATAGAATTGTTTTCCACACCATCCGAAAAAGCCCATTGCTTCTGAACGCCGTGAATCAGAATCCCAGTCACCCCTTATGTTCCCTCTCCTCACCTGCCTGCCTGCAAGCAGTGTGGTTGAATTTCCTTCCCGTTTAATTTCTTCTTATTTTTTGATCACTCTGTGCAGAGCCCCTCTGGGTGCTCACCCCCCTCTGGGGGGGCTCTGCAGACTCTGATCTCTGGCTCTGAGATAACCAGCCCCGTGCCTGCCGTCTGCTGCATGAATCTTTTATGATTATTTGGCAGTTTCTTTTGAGGCCCGTCTCAGATTTCACTTTGGTGTTTGTGATTTCAAGAATTGTATTGTAATATGACGTAGTGACCTGCAAGTGCCTTACAACTTTCTCCTCTGGTTGTTTGGCACATTATTAATGATCCGTCAAGGTTTGTTCTGAGCATCATTTCTTCCAACACAGATCACGGTAGATCACCCAGAAGATCAAAAATAATTTCATATTCGTGCTCCGATATGTTGGGTTTTTTGATGATTTGTTTTTAAAATAAGTACAGAAACTGCTGCAGTGGGCCCCGCTTTGAGACTATGATCTGAGAGCAGCTTCTGTGAGCTGGACTGCGACTGAAGCGCTTACTCAGCTGCTTTTAGGGCCTCGTGTGTCTGTTGCAGTGCTGTCTTGACAGATAAACTGTGTACTTTGCAGTTTCACATCTGCTTTGGATCAATGCTAACTACAAATATATTGTCACGGAATAAAGAACGCAATAGAGCCAAGTATATGTCCTGCAATACATGATCTTTGTTATTCAGCCCATCTAATAGCAGCACTGTGTGATTGTTCTTTCTGAAATCTCAGAGATGACTCGCTATCAAAAAACTGATTAAAGTACCCAAAGAAAATCTGCTGTTAGCTCATTTTCGGACCATGTTGTTTCCTCAAGCGTGGTGTCATAGAATACATTTGACTGAGACGGCAAATTGTCATTTTACTCACTGAACTTGTTACGGGTTTTGATTTTTGTTGTTGTGCAGAAATAATTTAGATTGTTAAGGTGAGCTTATTTGAAATGAGAATTCAGGTGATTGTTTCTCTTATCTGAAGGTTTGCACATTTGAGAAGTAAGCATTATTATGTTTCTGGGATGTAGTAATTGGCTTTTAGCCAGGAAAATGCAGGTCCAAGGCAGGGGCAAAAATCCCTGCTTCTCATAGGAGAAAAAGAAAACATGGAACAACTGTGAGCAAGTTTGCTGTCTTATCCCTGCTGTCAGCAGCATTTTGCAGAAGATGGGCTGGAGAGGCTCCGCAGGAGACACAAGTGACACTTTGCTTGTGAAATAATGTTAACCAGGGTTGTTAAAGGTGTTTGGAGGTGGCAACCATCTGTTGTTGACGCTAGAAAACTCTTCTCATGTTTCTGAGTCCACAAGTGGATAAGTTGGCGATGGCTGTGAACTGTCAGTACCAACAGGTTGTCAGGTGTCCGTTACAGTTTCTCCTTAAGTCTGGGTCCTCACAACTCATTACTTTCAAGGGAGTCCTTGAAATAGCCCTAAAATAGTTCTCACTGCTCTGCCTTAATGGTGCATCACGGGGGCTGGAAGGTCGAAGTCGATGCACGCTGGCTGCGTGGCCCAGCCGTGCAGTGTGCTGCAGGTTGTTGTGGCTCAGTGTGACACTGCCCTGAGCTGTGTTGGTGTTTTTTCTGTGCGATAAGAGTAGATTTAATATCTCTGTTCAAATAGCTCAAGTATGTTTTTACAATTTGCTGTCAATTTTTTCCCCATTTTAAAAGTAGTATTTCCCTTTAAGGGCTGCCGGCTGATAGCAAAGCACGTTCTGCTGTATTTGGAACCTTGCCTTGTTAGAGGTTTTCAGTGAGTGAAGATTTCCTTCTTTCATCCATAAGCTTCACACAAGGAAGTGGTTAATACAGCTAAACTCTGTGAGGTTATTCTCACCTCGGTAATCTGAGCACTGCTCTTGCATCACGCTGTTTGCACTGATTTGCAAGTTATTTGGCCAGATCATTTTCCTAAGCCTTACAGAGGCTTTTCTCGATCGGTGTTTTGTTCAAGCAATAAATAAATCTGCTGACGTGTCCTCCTGCCATATTTGCTTATTCTTGACCTTTGCTTTTTAGACATGTAAGTGACAGTTTCAGCCATGACGTTGTGTAACTGGCTGTTTATGTATCGACAAGCTTATTTGTATCTTGAAATTTGCAACTGTTCCATTGGTCAGCTGTGGGAGGTGGGGAAGAGTTTCAGGGTTAGTCATGGGGAAGCCTAACGCTTCGTCATCCTCAATCAGGGAGGGCAAGTATGGGCTGAATGGATTTTGTTCCTGTGTGAGCAAACATAAATAACAATAATATTTCATCCTCTTTGGGTATTGCCGTGACGTACCTGTTGCTGTGTGGAGGAAAACCTCCGCGTGTTGTCATGAGTGTGATCGTTAGGACAGGCAGATGGATTTGGGTCTGGTGCTGACCTGTGGTCTGACTGCTCTGTGCTATGCTCCAGGTTCAGGGCTGTCCTAAAGCCATCCTGCGAGCCCCAGCACACAAATACTGCGCTGACATACAAGGTATGCTGCCCTCAGCTCGAAGACCTGAGCTCCGACTTCCCAACCTGTTAGGAGGAATTAAGTACTGCAGCAGGGTTAGCTAGCTAATGCTCCTAAGGAAGCTGCCCTTTGGTCTTGCAAAAGCTTTTCCAGCTAGGTACTAATTTGCTCTGTCAAACTGGTGCTCTCGGTGTGACTACCCTCACTTTGGATAATGAGGAAGGTGGAAGTTAAGAAACTAATTGCTCATGGCTGCCCTAGAACCTAGTGACAGCATTCTCTTACCTGAAGGCGCAGCTTCAGAAAAGGTGCAGTTGGTAGTGGTGGTGATGGCTGGATTTGGTGATCCTAAGGGTCTTCTCCAACCTGAGTGACTCTGTGAGGTCCTGGCCCTTCTCCCTCTGTGCTGTGTGTGTTCTCCAAACTTTCAAGGTGTGAGATGTCTCTCAGAGGCTGCTGCTGTGGCTGGCTGTGTGCTGCTGGCCCAGCTGGCCACTTGCTGCCCTCCAGGGACTGGAATGCTGGTGTTTCTACCATCCTAGAAAGAAGGGGATCTTGTGAAGTCCCAGGGTACATCCTGTTGTCAAAGGGCATCTGCCCACAGCTGGTGCCACCCTGAGCATCCTCACCTCAACCCTCTTTTCCTGAGCCTCGTCCAAAAATGGGGGAGGGATGTGGTGTTCCAGAGTTCTGCTTTGAGATAAGTTTAAATTTAAGCTGTCGGTGGTAGAAGTCTGTACGAGACAGTACTGGGGGTTGCAGCCATAAGTGGTGGTTCCAGTGCTGTGGGCCCCTTGCAAGGCAAACAGACAGGAGGTGTGCAGACAGCAGTGTCTTATAGTAGAACCTCTCAGGAGTCAGCCTCAGTAAGCACCTCACAATGTTTGATGTGTTGTTCTAACAGAGCATTCTATTTTCTGTTTATTTCAGACTAAAAGATTCAGATATGTCCTTCATATTTGACTGGATTTACAGTGGCTTCAGTAGTGTATTACAGTTCTTAGGTAAGTTTTTCCTGCTGTTTTTGTATAGCATGTCTATTAACCTATCTTCAAACCGAGGGACTTGTTAAATAATAACATTTATTTTAGTGTATATTCAGTATCACTGAAAAAAAAAAGTTTCACTTATCAACACTGAGTATTTCCATAATGTGTTCTCCACTCAATCTGACATTCATCCTGTAACCTCTTGAAAATTACTTTTTCTTTCAGGAACATAATAGGCTTGTTTTTTTTTTTAATTAATACATTTAAACTGGTGTAGTCCGGCTAATAAAGCTTCTCCTGACTTTTTTTTTCTTCTTTAAAGAATCGGACTCAATTATTTGGGTTGAATTCTTTTGAACATAAGCATACAGGGTGAAATATTGGCTTTTGTAAAACAGGAGGAAAAAAGAGCACAAGAGGAATGGGAGTGCTACAGTACTCAGAAGAGGAGCAGAAGTTGCAGATAACATAGATAAAAAGGGCAGTGTACAAGTTCCAGGGATTCTATTCAAGTAAATAAAAAGAATTTGTGATTAATGGGCCATGGCAATCTGTGCCACCTGCATTTTATCAGTTGAAAGTTTAAACTTTTTCGCTTCATGTTAGACCCTTGGCCTGCCATTGAAATATTAGTCAGTAAAACTTTAACTGGGTTGACCAACCTTTCTTATCTCCTCTTACTTAGCCAAGCAGTGATTGCTGCACGCTAGCTCGCTTTCCTATACCTGCACATAAAAAGTCTAATTCTAGTGAGAGATGCTGAAGCCCGCAGCAGAAAAGAGAATTGCCCTTTACATGTCCCTCTTATTCTAAAAAAAAACCCCAACTTTTCATTCTCATGTCCCATGTGAGAGTGGCAAAAAATGCAGTTGTTTTACTACAGCTTAGTGGTGTTTCACTTAACTTGTAAGGTAAGTGTAAACTGCAGTTTCTTCTGTGATGTAAGTTTGTATATGGAAATGCTTGTTCAGTTCTCTCCCTGTCAACATCAGTACTTTCACCTCTGTCCTGTAGTTTAGTGGTTAATGATATTTGAGTATATGAGAAGGTGAGCTGGGAAATAAGAGTTGTGTTTGAAAAAGAGCTATGAAAACACTCTGCAGTTCTTGTAGTAAAAAAGGTTATTAATGAAATAAGCTGCGGTATATGAAAGCATATTCTTCCCTGCAGGTTATAAAACATGCCCTGGTGGAATGCAGTTCCAGAGATTAGCTTGAAGGGGGGGGGAAAGGTGAGCAAACAGCAGCAGTGTAAAGGTCAGGCAGATAGAGGCACATGTGATTGTGGATTGCACAGCATCCCCGGGGGTGGCTGAGGAACCCCCTGTGTAACAGTGCTATTTAAAATCTGACAAAAACAAAGTATGTGCAAGGATAGTATATGTGATAAGAAGTCACCACCACTTTTGCCCTCATCGGGCTTGAACTGGGAAGGACCTTTCTCATCAGAAATCATCCTCACTAGGCGGAGTGCAGCATCTGTACTTTATAATCAATATTGTGAATAGCACAGAAACTGGGCAGCACCTGTGGATCTCTAGCAGTTCAGATGTGGCTCCCAAACAGGCCAGGCTGTGTGACCATAGGGAGATGCAGTGGAGCAGAGATCTCAGGGTGATCAGCGCCTGTGGAAAGGAATAAGGGCTCCAGCAGTACTGTTGCTGGGTCCAGGTACAGAGCAGGGCACTGCTCATAATGTGACCTTTGTACAGCTTCAGAGCTCTTGTTCCTGTGGCACTCGGCACAACCTTTGGCAGTAGGCAGGGTTCTGGAGTCTAGTTTGCAGGTCAGGGGAGTTCACTGTTTTTGGAGTAGGATGTGTGGATAACTTCAGTGGTAAAGTGTACCTCACAGAGTACTGCTGTGTCATCACAGTGGCTGTAAAATAAACCTTTCTTTCAGTGTATGCCGCAATACTGTGACATTATCTAGTTTGTTTGATTTTTTTTTTTGTCATAACAGGAGGGAGTTGAACAAAATATAATCTTTTCCTGACCCGGGATGGTTGATATTTTAGAGTCCATTGTTAACACTGTATGATAGAATGGCTTGGACTGGAGGGAAGGTTCATTTGGTCATTTGTCATTTGGTAGAGCAAAGCAAGCTGCCCCGGCAAGGTTCAGTTGAGTTTTGTTTTAGCTTTGCTCAGATAAAGTAAATGCAATCATGTGTGACACATTTACATCAGTCATGTGCCTCTCTCCCCAGATGCCACTCAGCATCACATCAGCTGTGTGTAGCAAGCATAGCTGTGATAAGCACATGAGCAAGTATGAATGTGGCCTGTACAAGTAGGAGAGCACTTGCTGATAAAGGGCATTGATAAAGTGCACTGTGGAGCTTGACAGGTCTGTATTTTGTGCCGTGGCTGTACAACTTTTCTCCTGGGAGCAGAGTCATCTCTCATGTTAGAAATAGTGACTGTACATGGATGCTTCCATTAGCAATCACACACCCTTTCTCTACTGACTGTCACAGCTGTGCCAACAGAAATCTGTAGGACATACGTGTAGGAAGGTGTCTTGGTCTTGCTGCTTAGCAGACCACACAGGATCTGAGAGAAGCTTATGCTTAGCAGTGCTGAAAGATGCCATTGCTGTCACTCTAAATGTTTGTATTTTATATGTATGTGATGTGGGTTCCTGTTGGACAATGCTGCTCAGATAATACTCCCACTGATAGAACTGATTCAGTAGGTTATTCTTTGTTACAGGACTGTACAAGAAATCAGGCAAACTAGTTTTTCTTGGACTGGACAATGCTGGAAAAACTACACTGCTGCACATGCTCAAAGATGACAGGCTGGGACAGCATGTCCCCACACTACACCCCAGTAAGTTAACGTTCCTAGTTCCCTTGCTAGAAAGTACTGCAGGAAACCTGATTATACATCACAAGTAATTGGGGGGAGGCAAAGAGTAATGGAATTGAGAAATTCTGAATTACAGAAGCTGTGAGAAATTGAGACTTGAAACATTTGAGGGCAGCTTCTCTGGATATTTGGAAGGTTAGCATTTCCATACACTGTTCTGATTCTCATTGACTCTGATTGTTACCATGGTAGCCTTGCAGGAGGAAAAGTTCAGCAGAGGTTAAAAACATGGACTGGTGAAGTCCAGGAGAAGGTGAGCAATTAAGCAAGGACACAACAAGGAGTGACCTCTGCCAGTATTGCATGTGAAATTTCATCTGTGTGGCAAACCAAATGCCAGAGCTACCTATTGCCTTTGAAATGGGGGAGAGAGAAATCATGTGCAGACAGACATTCTCTGCTGTTCTCTTAACACTGTAGATTTCTGACATCTGTTTTAATTACATTTTGTTGTTACATAAATGTTACTGATTTTGAAAGAAATTGTATCTCTCTGCTATATTTCTTGAGAAACAAAATACTGAAGATAACAACAGAAAGTGAAATCTGTGTCCTGAGTAGTCAGGCTATTACGTGTAGTAGAATACTGTGTAGTATGTATATGATGATATATGATCTTCACAGAGAACATAATTCTGTGTATTTGTAGCTTCAGAAGAGCTGACAATTGCTGGAATGACTTTCACTACTTTTGATCTGGGTGGACATGCTCAAGGTAAGAGAATATGTTGACTCATTTAACTGCTGTGAATTGGAGTTGTTTACAGTCAGTTTGTCTCAGATCAGAAATACGACCATACTGCAGAGATCAGCTTCCCACACTCTCTTTGGTAGTGTTAAAAACATTCACTGCTCTGTTCCTGTCTCTGCCACATACTGTGCTCCCAAATACAATTTGGCAGGAGCTGCAGTAGATCAGGATTCTTTGACTGATGGTAACTATTTTGAGAAGGATTAGATAGTTTTTGTTTTAGAACATTGAATTTCTTGTGTATGCCTTCAACCTCTGTGCTTCAAACTAACATTTGTTGATGTAATACTTGGGGAAACACAACAAGGTTCAGTCCATCAGTGTGTGCATGTGAGATAGAGTGGTGATAACAGCAGAGGGAATTATGCATTTGCTCCGTTATCTCAAGCTTTATAAAACATGGGTTTGCATCCTGAAGACTGGCAGTGTACACTAAGACTTCAAAAATACGTGTGGCTTCTCCATTACTCTGTAAGTAATTATGCTCTAAGTTTGGGGATAATTTCCATTGGTTTTATTTCACTTCTTCCCTGTAGCTCGCAGAGTGTGGAAAAACTATCTGCCTGCTATTAATGGCATTGTGTTCTTGGTGGACTGCGCAGATCATGACAGACTGCTTGAATCAAAAGAAGAGCTCGATGTAAGTGTAACTGGGCTTTTGAAAATCTGGATTCTAACCTCTAAGAAATAACCTCCAATTCCCCGTGTTCGACAGAGCTCTCCTGCCTGCCTGGCAATCCAGCAATTTCACTTTTAGCATCTTCAATCCCATCTAGTTGTGTTTTGGTTCTGTCACCCTCTTGCTGTTCATTACCGTCTGCACTGTACGTAGGTGAACGTTCTGTTCTGCCAGTGGAATCAGTATTACTCCATTTATGATGTTTTCTATGTTGTGAATGAGTAATTTAATTTCTTTTATCGCAAGCAGATTGAACAACTCCCATCAGTTATTTTCATTGCACCAAATAACAGTGAATTTTGCTGCCCTTACTTCTTAGAAAGATCGAGTTTCACCACATGGTTATTAACATTTTGTCTTAATATGAAGCCCTAAATCAAACTACATCCTGAAAAAAAAAGCTTTAAATCAGACTATCTCCTAAAATAGTCTCTTTCCCCTTTCTCCTTTCCTTTGCAGTCACTAATGACAGACGAAACTATTGCTAATGTGCCTATCCTAATCCTTGGTAATAAGATTGACAGACCTGAAGCCATCAGTGAAGAGAGGTTACGAGAGATGTTTGGTCTGTATGGCCAGACAACAGGAAAGGTAAAGCTCCTTTTTTTTGTTAGAGATCTCATGTTTACCCTACAGTTCTGTGTTGATTCTGGTTCACTCAGCTACACAAAATAAATGGTTTTTAGTTTGTTATATACTCAGTACTTAATAGGTTTGTGTGAAAGAAATGCTGTGCGTGTTAGAAGCATCCCTACTGCAGCTTCTATTCATCACTTCCAATAACACATTTTGCCAGGGAAAATGGAGTTGTACTAAGCATAGATTTCAGTACTTGAGCTACTTCTGTGCAGTACTTTTAAAAGGTGAACATGTTTTCAGAGGCTACAGTTCTAGTAGGAACTGGAAGAGAAAACTTGATAAAGTCCTCCAGTAAGTGATTTTTGTCCTTTAAAGTGCAGATTTAGTACAATTCATTACTTAGCATATTTAACTGAAATTTAGAAGCAGGTTTATACTTCTGCAGAAATCTGAGTTTGTAGGCAGTGGAAAAACATTCCTACTAGCAGATTTATATTACCCATCTTTGTGGTAATTCAGCTCTCTTTGAAGTAAACACAGTGTACTGCTTGTAATGGAGTTTTGGGTACAAGGAATTAAAAAGAAATTACATAGAAACAAGAATTGCGTGGGTTAGCTTTAGAATAGGTGTAATGGAATATAAACAATTATTATTCATTTCTTTTTATCGTTTTGTTTTGCATCTTGCTCTGTATTTTCCAACACCGCATGCAGTCTGTGAAGTAAGAATCCTGTAGTGAGCCTCCAGTTGAGGAATAGCTTTGTCACACTGTGCTGCTCTTGGCAAGAAAGCAACTTGCACTCTGACTGCGGTCAGCCCTACAATTTGTAGCAAATGCTCTTTTTATCTGCTTGGAAAGCTGCTAGAAGCATTGCAGGGAACTGCCTCTGAAAACTGGAGTCTGAGCTGTCAGATTCTCTATACAGATGCTTGCTTTTGCACTCAGGTGCCACGCACTTTATGCTCTCTGAATGTGGCTGCACATGAAAATATGCTCAGGGACTGTAAGGCTGGCATTGTGTGCAGAAGTTTCAGAGTCACTTTCTTCAAAGATTCTAACATCAACCGTAAGTTAAAGGATGGCATTGTGTAGAAACAAGTGTCAGTGCAGAGCAGCTGTCTCTTTGTAAAGATCCTATAATTTGGAGTGCTTCTGTCTCTTTGCAGGGCAGTATACCATTGAAAGAACTGAATGCAAGGCCACTAGAAGTGTTCATGTGCAGCGTGCTAAAGAGACAAGGCTATGGAGAAGGATTCCGTTGGATGGCACAGTACATTGATTAATGCCAAGATCACATTAGTGCATCCTGTCCCATGTCTGAATATTAAGTCTGCTCCTTATTTGATCACTCGGTGTACACAACTTGGATTCGTTTGACTGTTTAGTTATAAAAGCATCCATTTTTACATAATTGTATCTCCTATGCTAAATTGTAAGTGTGAGGATTGAGAAATTCTTTCAAGCAAGTTTGTAAGCTGAAGTACCACCACATGTTAGCTTTCTAATCCCATACAGCATTCTTTTGCAACATTTAATTTAACAAGTCTCCAGCACCATTTTTGGACAGAGCAACTTTCCAGTACAGTATGTTTGAATGCACTTTTTAACAGCTAAAAACTGCAAACGTGAGAAATATTTAATGCTTATCATGTTAAATTTTTTTATGTACTTTTTTGAAACTGGTTTTATAACTTTAGAGTATATAACCATCTTTCAAGGAATAATAAATAATTAGCTGATGGATAATTGCATGATGCCTTACAGTTTTCAATAATATACTTTCTTATGCAACGTCATGCAATAAATTTAAATCCAGTTTTTGGCAACTTTAATGGAAAATGTTTCATTTTAATGTGTCTTAACTAGTGAGGCTGTCTGACGATCTGAATATGGGGGATGTTGTCCTGAAGCACAGAAGGCCACAAAGTACTTTCATTGTATATTAGAGAGTAAGCTGTTTCCTTCAGACTACCAAATTGCATTTCCTTTAGGGTTTTACATTAATGGAACTCTAATCTGATGCCCTTATAACTACCACCTTTAAAAAGGACAGATCATGGAAATCAGTTGTGCCGATGCAGATCTTGAACTAATGTAAAAAGCGGTCTTACTCTGCTGGTACCTTGACTTACACCCCTGAAATGACACAGAAATTACAATTACCATTAGTGCTACACTGAATTGTTCTGTTCTTGGTTTCGGTAGATATGGATTCTGCCAGAAGATTTGTCTGTGACATTGCCAGAAAAAAAAAAATCGCTGCTGTTGCTTGTGAAAATGTGTCAGCACACCCCTAATTGGCCAGTTTTATTTTTGGTGTTCTGAGTTGGAACAAGATGGATTGTTTTCTGCAGTTTTGCCCTGAAGCTCAGTCAGAATGGCAGTTGTTGCGTGCCCAGGTGGCTTGTTTCTGGGGTAAAATTCCATTATCTTCAGTGCATGTTTCCAGACTTTTGACTGTTTTTTCCCCACCTCCCAGTGCATTCGCTCCCTGAGCAGGTTATTTTCTAAGAAGGAGAGGTGACGCACGTAAATATATGGACATCTTGTTGACACTGGCTGACATTGCTGTGGACCTGTGATTTGCGTTTCTGTGTGCAGCAGATGTAGCTGATGAAGGCAGGGCTTCAGCCCTGGGGTCGTTGTTTCGCTGTGCTGGGTTTGGCTTTCACTGTGTAGTGTGTTTCACCTTTGCTCTTCCACTTTTCACAAGGGTGAAAAGTATTGAACTGCTACAGATGTTCTTACAGAACCCCAGGGCTGGAGCTGCTTTTTACTCACTGTTGTCGATCTTCTCTAAAATGCTTTAGGCCCTGTTTCTTCAACATCCGTAGCAGCAAACAAATTTCTGTCTCTCTTGGTTTCGTACATAATTTTCTCTCTTAAACCACCGAGTTTGAATCTCGTATTTTAAGCCTGCAGACTTTAAATGTGAGCCCGTAGTCTCTAAATAGGCACATGGTGAGTAAATAAGGGGTACTCCCCTCCCGGATCAGGGCTTGTGTGATTAAATAATGATGATGGTTTCCCCTCAGTCCGAGGTTGTGCGTCTGAATCAGATGAATAATCCATAACCTAACTAATATAGATGATAGCTGGCACTAGTTACAGCACAATCTTGCAAAATTTTAAGCATACTTTGTGCGTGGTGAAGAACAGAAGTGAGGCTGTTGGGTAGATTGACCAGCATGAGTTAATCCTGCCTTTAAACTAGTGCTCTGCTGCAGAGCAGTGCCTCCGCGTTGCACAAGTCAAACTGTAGATAAGAAATGTCATCTTACAGGTGTGTAGACAACATGCGAGTCTTTGCTCACATGTTTGGGGAACACAAATTTTTCCCCACCCCACACGTTTTTCTCATAATGGTTATAATGCAACAGTGTAAATATTCAGAACTACTGCTTGCGGTCACGTAGCTGTGTTGAAGGGGGAGACTTGGGACTGTGCTGCCTGTGTTGATGGAAATGAAGCTGGAAGTGGAGTCGTGCTGCTCTCGTGCTCCTCTGTGGAGTGGGGAGTGCCTGCAGACCCCTTCCACAGGCTGAGCCATTCCACGGGTGTTGGAAGAGAGAGGGGACCTCTTCAGCTGCCACTCAACCTACTGTGAATAACATGGGCTGTAAGGAGAGGGCTGATGGTCTTAAGAGCTAAAAAAGACCAGAGGTGATGCTGCTTTAAAAGTGTGTGTGAGGGGTAATCCTTAGCGTTACGGAAGTACTCAGATTTCATGTTTCATACGGTGAGATGCTAGTTTAAATGTGGTTGTAATAAGGGCATGAAGAAATTTGGACCTTTTGTTTTCTGTCTGGGTATCGTAATGGTTCCCACTGTGGGAACAGCTGAACAACAGTCACCAATAATCTCACTGTTCTTTCTGGAGAGGAAATATTTCCTCTGTAGTTTACATTCTGTTGTGCACATGAATGTGAATGGGTGTTGTGTATCTTTGTGTGAAGACTTTATTGATAGAAAAATACACTCGTGAGAGTTCTTCTGGTGGTTTTCATCCCCACCACCCCTCCATCTCCTGTACCTTTATTTCTGGAGGTTGCTTATTGCTGTGACTGTGACCAGTCCTACTAACTTACAAAAGAAGCAACGTTCACATCTGGGTCTGACTTTTGTGAATTACATTTGCACTCTTGACTATGCAGATTTCAATTAAGCATCACTTTAAAGAACGTGAAAAAGAAAATTCGTTGATAACTGTGTTATTTGTGGAGTCTCAAATTTGCTTTTGCACTACAACTTTAAGACAAATGAGTGCAGATTTCTAAACTACTAACAACAACTGCAGACAAAACGGCCCATATTTCACTGCAGTGACCCCATATAGTAGCATCTGTGAGTTGAATAACATTTATTTTGCTTGGATTTAATTAGACACTGGTTTTAGTATGCACTGTGCAACCGAGGGGCATTGCTGCATTTCAGTCTTAGTTTACTTCATTTTTGTAGCAACATTTATTGGCACTGGAGGTGGGAAAGATCTGTGACTGTTCTCATTTACCCTCGTCCAGACCAAGACTATTTCATGAAGTGTGTTTTCTCATGCTGTATTCAGTGTTCAGGTACTGTCTATGATGTGCCAAAGATGACCTATGGCATTCACTGGAATATAATACCTGCATGTGTGCGAGCTTTGCCGTGTTTTAATAGTTGGAATTCAGCAGCAAATCGAGCATTTGACATCTGCTTGTTTGTAACTAAAGTCAACTCAGAAAAACGATATTGTTGTTCTTCAGTCCCAGTGAATTCACAGGTCTGCTTCAAGTAGAATTGTTCTCTCTCATTTGTACTGTCAGCGTGTTTGGTTGTCACCAACCAAAGTCCAATATTTCTATCGACTACAACATGCTCAGCCGCAGTGTAAATAACGTAATCATGAGTTATGGACTTCTGAGATGCATTACAAACAGCCTAATCCATTGGCTGTCGGTGGGGACGTGTAACTTATTTGCACTTAGATAAACCACTTTTGCACTAGTATCTCAGCGTGGAACTAAACATTTTCTGTTTTGAAATGTAAGTGCTCTGAATGTTTAAAAGCATAATTTATATAATAAACTGCAGAGGAAGAACTAAAGATGAAAGTGGTCTTAAACATGTCCTTAATGTGGTGTTTCTTATTATTTATGTTGTCACATCCCTGGCTTAACATGTAAGTATCAGAAAATAAAGTTCTGTGTTGGGATTTGAAGAAAAGGAGTTCAAAGCAGGTAATTCTTGTCAAATAATTACATTGTCCATGGGCAAGAAGAAGTGTTCTGGCACAGCACACATTCTGGTAGTGATTGGGGGGGGGGTTCAGCTGGCTGTAATAGCAGCTCAACCTGTTCTTCATCGGTGTTTCTGTTCATGTCTGCATGGAAGCAGATCCTTAATGCAGAAAACATCACCAAGAAAAAACAACAACAACAAAGAAGCATCATGACATTACCTGTGTTGTGATATTTAAGTGGGATAGAAGGATCCAGTTTTACAAACGATAACTGTCTTTACAGCCTTGATGCAGTTTTCATTCTAGGATCTCAGGGCTTTTTCATGCAAACGCTGCCTAGCCATCGTCGTGCTGCAGAGGGCTCTTGTCCTTGATTAACCGTGAGGAAAACGAAGTCCAGAAGGAACTTGTCATACCTGGTCACTGCCTGAGTGAAGGGAGCGCACAGAGCCACCAGCAGCAGTCTGAAGTGGAGCAGTGCCTCAGTGAACCTGCCTCAGTGAACCTGCACCCTGCTTGCCCGTGTTCTAGAGAGAAGAGGAAACGTTTGCTGTGCCTTTGCTCTCAGCAGTGTAACTGTGCTTGAGCACCCAAACCTGGGAGTCCCCTGGCAGGGATGTGCTGTGCCAGCTGTCAGTCTGGGAAGGGATCAGTCTGACTCTTGCGGTGCTGTGTCCTGGTGGGGAAGCTGAGCTGTTGATGGCATTTGCTCCTTGGCAGCTAATGGCTGGGGACAGCCGTGGGACAGAGGAAGGAAGAAATTATCTGGGTTGAAACGTGGGCCCCTTGTCAGAGAGCAAAAGGGGAGAACAGTTCTCAGTATGGAGCATCCCAGTGCTGGGGGCATCGCTTTGGGTTTCTGACCAGAGGTAAGCATGAGCTGCAGGATGTTGGATGGGATTTGGGGCTCTTGTGGCTGCTGGCACTCAGAGCCGGGCTTTGAGCTGAGATGTTTGGTTCCAGCCCAGGGCCTGGATGCCATTTCCTCACTGCTTTCCTGGAGCAGGATCCTGGATTGGGTTCAACTCCATGGAGCAGTGGAAGGAAGGCTCCTGGATGTGCCACCACTCTTCTTGCTGTTGAAACTAAGGAATTTAAAGCAAACCTTTTGGAAGCATTGTTACTGAGATGCATTAGTACAAAATTGCAGAGGACATCCAGTGAAAGTGCTCAGTAGGTTCTAAGGGAAAAATCAGAGAAAAGGAATCTGCTGGGGAGAGAGAATCTTTTCTTTTGCTGTGAGTAAACATGGAGGAGAAGCTGTGTGGCCACAGCAGGAGAGCAGCTGGAACTCCGGGTGCTGCTGGGGGCACAGTGCTGGGGCACAGCGGGAGGAGGCAGAGCTGATGGCACCACGTAAGATTGTTTAGAGCCTGTGCTTTTTTATGGGCATCTGAGATGCTTTTAGAGCTGGCCTAAGGACGACGGGTGTTCCTATGGATCCAGCCCTCCCGTTGGCTGCCTCCCACCCATTGCTCTCCATGCAGCTCCAGCACACATCCCTGGGAGGAGCGGTGATGGCCGTGCCTGGAAGTGTGTCTGCACAGAGAGCACGGCTGTCGTTTGCACTTCTTTTTACTCCTCCTCTAGTCCTGCCATCTGCTGTTACTACTTCTGTAATGCCATTTTGTTTCCTCGTCTCAAACTTGAATTGTCTCCTCAGTTTCAAAAGCAGTATGACTTTTTTTTTTATTTTTTCCCCCAGGCTGCTTTGGGGAGCTTTCATTTCTCAAGAGGTTGATGCTTGAAATCCCAGGTAAGAAATCTGCCAAAGCAGGAATTCTGCTTATGTTCTCCTCGCTGCTGTCAGACAGAACACGAGAGAGAGCCAGGAAAAGATTTATGTCGTGTTTGCTGTTATCCTGGGAGAAGCGAGGGGAAACCAGAAAGCTGCAGTTGTCATGGTTAGCTGAAGTTTGCTGAGGTCCTGCAAGTTTGTTTGAAGGCAGCAAGGAATGTGTAACAGATCCGTATGCATGTGACTGCTGGATGAATTCTATTTATGTCTCTGTAAACACGCAATTATGAAATGAGCTCCACGTGATGATGCTGGTGCCGTCCCTGTGTGACCTGGTCAGCTGTCCCTGGGGTTTGCTTGGGCTTAGCTTGTAGAATGTGGTGCTGCTGGAAGGTGTTTGTTGGAAGGTGGTCGAGCAATGGGATGGGAAGCACCAGCATGAATCACAGAACCTGTAGGGCTGGAGAAGGCCTCTGGGGTTACCAAATCCAATCCCAACCCATTCCCACTGACCATGTGCCCAAATGCCACATCTCCACGTTCTGGAACAGCTCGAGGATGGTGTCCCCACCACTCCCTGGGCAGCTGTGCCCGTGCCTGACCATACCCACCATGTTAGCAGATAAGAGAGAAGGCACTATGAAGTGGATAATTTGGATGTTGTCCTCCTTTCCGCTGTAATTCCAGTATGTTTGGTGTGTCTTGGCAAAGAAGTTTTCTACCCACTGGAATACTGATTTCAGGAAACTCAGTAGTCCTGGCTATTTCAGCAACAGGTGCATGTGCCACCGTACAGGTTTCTCTGCTCAAGCAGCAGGCAACCTGTCAGCAAGATGCATTTTCTTCGTGAAGGAAGGCCACAAAATCAAACATGCCCACAGTGCAGGGCTGGGCTGGCAGGGATGAGCCAGAGTGCAGCACCTGCAGCCTGGGACGTATGGGCTGGCAGCCACTGCCTGCTTGGAGTCTGTGTACCCCTGGGGGGCATGGCAGCTGCTGATGCAAACGGATGAGTCACCTTTAAAACAATGGTTTCTTCGTGCACAATGACTCAGGATAAAAGAAAAACAGGTTTTTCAATAAGCTGAAGCTTGTGAGATTGCAAAAAGGAGGAATGCAGGGGGATGTCTTTAACCCTGTGCTGAAAGGCTGACATTTTTCCCTAAAGGTAACAGTGCTGGGGGGAAAAGGTAGGGCTGGTGTGGGGCTGTGTGTGGCTGCATCACCTCTGCAGAGCACACAGCCCAACATCTCCCTGTGTCCCAGCACACGTGGATGTGTTACCTTCCATGGGCCAGCAGCATGCAGCGCAGTTTTAGTGCAGAAATTACCAGCATAGCAATCTGAGCACGAATCTGCACACCTGAAAAGGATTTCAATACATCAGAACAGCAAGGTGAAGGGGAGGATAAGCCACGGGCTGTCGACAAAAACGATGCAGCCAGATTAACCAAGCAAGCTCCCAGCAAAGGTCCTTCCCTGTGCTCCATGCGTTTGCATGGGGGCAGCAGCTCCCCTCGGCCCCCTGCTTGCAGCGTTGTTCTGTGCAGCAGGAAGCTCAGACCCCGCAGCGCCAATGGGTGCGGGCAGGCCGGGCTGCTCCCGCAGTTCTCCATCCATAGGTGGCAGCAGCCCTTACATCTGTCACCTCTCAGCCGCTGGCTTCTTCTGCAATGATTTCCAAACCTTTGGTGCACGATGCTGCCGCAAGAGGAATTCTTTCCGAGGAACGAAGCATCCTTCGAGCTGTTTGCTTGATTTTCTATGAGGACAAATAGCAGAGAGTCAAACTTGATGGTAGCAGGAGAAGAGAATTTTGTTCCAGCACAACTTGCTCGCAGGTAAGAGCGATAGGACGGGAGGTGATGGCCTCACATGGTGGCTAGGGAGGGTCATGTTGGGTGTTAGGGAGCTGCAAAGAGCAGTAATGCATGGACACAGGCTGCCTGGGGAGTGGGGGAGTCCCCATTCCTGGAGGTGTTCCAGAGCCATGGGAATGTGACACCTGGGGACGCAGTTATGGTGGAGATGGACTGGAGCTGGGCTTGGGGATCTTGCAGGTCTTTAATGATTCTGTGATGTTAGTCAATAAGTTGCCAAAGAAAAATTATATTGGTGGCACTGATGAGGAACTCAGTGCTCCATCAGCTGCAGGCAGGATGGGAAGGCCAGCGGGCTGCAGGCCAGGAGAGCACCTGCTGCAGGAGGCAGTGAGTTGCTGGTTGCAGCACTGGGGACGTAATGGGGAACGCTGAGCACTGAGGTCGGGTGAGACCAGAGAGCAGCAAGTGTGGGGCAGGATGGGGCTGTGCTCTTTCAGCATCTTCAGTGGTGCCCCTCTTTAGGAGAACAGGGGTGTGATCACTCCAGCTTTGGCTGTATTGCATTTTTTTACCTGCAAAAATGAATCCTTCCTTTAATTCAACCGGATATTCTTCTCTGCTGAAGGTATTCTTCCCTTTGGCTGATGGGATGGCAGTGGTAATCCACCAAGGCAGATGGGTTTTTGTCAGAGAGAAACAATCCTAAGTGAAATCTTTCAAACTGTAATGCAGTGTTTCGTCAGGTGTTCAGGCTGGTGGGTGACGTGTTGTGATGGTTGTCATGTGGAGATGGTCATCGTGGTGTGATGGGCAGCATGTTGAGAGGTTGACACATCTGGCCTCTCCACCTTGGCATTCCCCAGGAGCTGCTCCACACCAGAGATCAGAATGAAGCCCAACTGAGTGTTAATGATGACAAGCTCACACTGCAGGCAGAATTCCCCCTATTTTGATGCCTCGGAACCCGGCAGGGACGAGAGACTGCTTTTACAGATGAGCAGATCCTCTCAGCTTGTCCTTGACAGCTGCAGATAACAGGAAGATGAGGGCTTAATTACTTTGTAATTAAGCTGATGTTACCATCTTATGTCTGTTCAGTATCTAACACAAAATGAGCTGCTGATTTTTGGTCATTCATTAGGAGGCAGCAGTGTGGGGGAACACAGATGTGTGGGGAGGGAGATGGGGTCCTGCCTCTGGATAGAGGCTGAGGAACAGCCAAGATCTGCATGCTGGAAGCTCCTTTCCTCACTGGGAGATTCACAGGGAGCAATTTCCATCTTGGAGACACTACAGAGCAGCAGTTGGTTGCTGCTGCAGCACAGAGCTCAGGCTCAGGCTATCACTGTGCTGTTCCAGCTCCATCTGTGTCCACTGCCATGGCACGTGGAGTGCTGGCAGGTCCTTCCTGAAGCAGTTCAGTCTCTTTGGAAGCCCCCAGTTCCTCCTAGCTTGGGCTGCCTGCACTTCCATCCATGGAAATGGTTGGTTTGGTAATTTGGTGCCACTGCTGCATGTGATGGTGTGGGTGCAGAGCACTCTCCTGGTCAGCTGCAGGGAATTTGGGACAGTCATTAGAGGAGCAGGGTGAAGAACAGTGCTGGGTCAGGGCTGCCAAAGTCTGGGGTTTGTCTTCAGCATTAAATCTAATGGCATCACAGGGTGGAAAGCCAACTCCTGGCAGTGCCATTGCTCCAATTATGTTCATCCCAACACGGGGGCAGTGCACGTCCCTGCTGCAGCCCTGCAGCCCCAGCACTGCTGCCTCCACCTGGGGCTTTGTGTCCCCCTGCCAGTTTCGCTCTGACTGTCAGGCAGGGATGAGTCAAAACTCAGGGCAGAACTGAGATGGTAGCACTATGCTGTGCTGTGGAATGGGGACAGTCCTGATCTGTGCCCTGGGGACCTCATGCTCATTGGACCCCATCCGCACCCCAAAATGGGGCCCTCATCTGCAGGACTGCAGCATGGCTGCCATCCCAACATCCCTCCTTTTCGGGGCAGACTTCAGGTGATTGCACTGCAAAACCTCTTCCCGAGGCCAAACTCATGGGAAATGGAGTGATAGCATCACCTGGAGCCAACCTGTAACTTTTTTCCCTGCGACTGCTGGGCTCCTCACATGGGAAACAATTCCTTGTCTTCTTTTCTCCGTGTAAAACAATCCCAAATGCTCGGTGTGTGTTTGCCATGTGCGCATCCCATGTGCACGGTGACATTTCTCATCCTTCTGTTAGTACAGATGCTGCAAAGGCAATAACCCTGAAATGTCACAGCTGCAGATTCATGCCACGCAGATAAGACGGGGCAGTTAAATAACGAATCACTCAATACTTAGATATTACCTAGAAGACAGCAAAATCTGCAGGAATAGAACACAGTGCACAGCACCTGTGTGCTCTGCATTGCTGCTGCACCTGAGAAACACTGAATGCCCCAAGATGGGCAAATGAAGGGAATTTCATTGGCAAGCTTGGGAAAGCGGGCAGGCAACTCATCCCAATGAAGCAGACAGGTGGGGAAATGCTGAATGCTACAGAGATTTTCAGCTCTGCCCGTGGTGGCAGCGCCACCTCCTTCATGCCAAGGTCACCCCAGTGGGGTGCCCCGATCCCAGGGCAGTGCACACCTCCTGCCAGGCACAGCCCAGCAGCCCTTTGCTATGGATGTGTTATTTGGCTTTCTCCCCCTGTTTCGTTGATCAGACCATTCCAATCCCATCACAGGGCTGCTAATGACCGTGCTGCACCAGCAGTGATTTAACCTCTGTGTTTTCTCCCAGCATTCACTGTCAGCTTTGTACAAAGTGGCACTTAAAATACACACGTGGTCCATTATTTTAATCCCAATTGCAGCTGAAGGTGCAGCAGCATCTCCTGCACTGAACCACGCATGTGATGCTCAGCGGAGCGCTGGGACCCAGGGCAGCCCGACCCCCCAGCAATGCAATCAGTCCCCCCAGGACCCCACTGCCACTTGCTCTGCTCTCTGCATGAATAAAGCCCATGGGTGGGCAATGGGCTTGGTGAGGCTGTATTAAAACCATCCTCATTCCACTTGTGAGTATTCTGGCTTTTGCCTTAGGAATGGGGAAGATGGTTGGAGCGCACTGGCCTGGGTGGGTGAGACATCAGCAGCCCCTGGGGGTGCTTTGGGACAGCAGATCACAGCCAGATCCTTGGGCTGATGTTGGATGTTTCCCTCGTTTTGTGGTAAGTTGGAAGTTTGTTTTTTTGTTTTTTTGGTTTTTTTTTTTTTAGAGCTTTTTATTATTCATCTGTTGCAATCATGGCAAACACATCATTTCACAGCCCTACATGGAAATCCAAAGCCAGGGAACTATTTTTAGAGCACTAAATGCCTCCCCTCGACGTATTCACTGTGGAAGAATAAATACCAAAGGCGCTCTTGTCACATCTGAGGTGGTTACACAGCAGCACAGCAGTGGCTGTAATGGGGAAAGAAAGCAACGTTGTGCCACCAGCACTTCATTAAACACAATGAAGAAGATCCTACTGCGATCCTTCCAGGGGAAGCTGAGGGGAAATTCATTCACTTCCACATCCATCACTGTGGATTTACGGGCACATCTCCATCCCACTGGTGTTTCAGAGAACAGAAGCGTTTGGGTAGGAAAGAGCTCTCAGATCCCCCATCCAACCCCATCCCTCCACCGTAACCATGTCCCCACGTGCCACGTCTCCATGGCTTGGGGGCGCCTCCGATGCCCAGCGATGGACATTCAGTGCAAACCCTTTGGGCAGAGATACCCACAGCACTCAGTGGCACAGAGCACGCCGATATGCACGCACACGTAAAACACTGCTTTATTGACTGCATTTGCCAACACATTGAGGAATGCAAAGGTTTCGTTTTGTTGTTTCGGTTTTGTTTTTCTCTCATAAGCCATGGGCCATGGTCCCAATGTGTATTAAAGCATACACTGTACCTAAACAGGATGAAAATAATGGCAGACAGAGCTATTCCAAGGCAACACAAAGAGCATGCATAATACAGTCTCACACAGAACGAGTCTGATAACATTATATTGCTTTAAGGATTAACTAACATGGAAAATGTACAAAAAGGAGAAATAGGTTTTTGCATTAATGAAAAATACATTTTTTTTTTTCTCTACAAAGGAATTTCTAATACAAGAAAATAAATATTGCAACATAAGCCAAAAATAATTTAAAATTGCTCTTTTCAATATATTTTCAATATTTCTCTTTTCTATTAACAAATGGCACATCACGTTCTTTGAAACAAAGAAAACAGAAGGGTTTCCTCCTCCTGCGACATTCATATCGTTTCCTGTGACTGACGTGGGGTGAGTCTGGGCTGTGTGCGGATGGAGCAAACGGGGCGACCCGGAGGAACCAACAGCCCCAGGCACGGCCAGAGGGGCGAAGGATGGACGGGTTTGGGTTTGGGGAGCGGGGCTGTGAGCGGGGCTGAGCCAGCACTGTGCTGGTGCCGGGGCTGCTGGATGGGGCTGCCCCGCTGCCGAGGCGACGGGCGCTCTTACAGTGCAAACCGCGGTTTATACATCTGAAAAGACAATATTTTTCTCTAGCAAAATAAACCCCTTAGATTCTCTTTCATCTCAAAATACATTTTACAGCATCATCAAAAAAAAAAATACGGCCCTTTGTGCATCGCTCTCATCACGCAGCCCCCCGGCTCCTCCCGACCCAGTGCCGAACCGCGCGGCCATGCCAGGGCTGTTCCGCAGGGTCCCCCCGTTTGCTTTCCTGTACTGAGAAGACGAGGAGTGCAGAAGCCGATGAGTGGAGCTGTGTACAGTGAAAAGTTGTGGATTGCTTTTGTTTAACCATAACTGAGTGAAGCACACGGAAGCAAGATTCATTAAAAGGCAGCATATTGATTATTGGTATGACTCTTATACTAGGATACTGTAGCTAAAGCTAGCAAGCCTGATAAGATAAACTAAGTCCTATTTACTGTATTTAACATTATCTGAACATACCGAGCCTTAATTAATGAGCAGATTTTCACCTCCAACCTCGGTGGATGAATTGCTATGGGAGGTGGTTCCCGTTTGGCCGATCCGTGGTTCTGCTCCCCGCGGTGCAGCCGTGCTCTGGGTGCTCCATCCCAGCTCAGGGGGCACCCGGGGCTGCGTGCTGCCTGGGGTCAGCCGGGCTGCCATCTGACCACTAGTAAGGACTCTCTGAAGGCTGATAAAGCTCATCTACTCTAAAACACCGGGACAGTCGGTTAAAGGAGTCTCAGAGTATCAGAAGAAAGCTCACAGTGAAATGAGCAAAAAGCACTGGAAATCAAAACGGAGGGGCGTGGGCTCAGCACCCCTTCAGCAAGCTTGGAACCTAACGCCGCAGCAGTGTGCATGAGTGTGTCTTTAGTCCTTGGTTGCTAAATAACTCCCAATTGTTCCTAGTGACAAGTTTCCAGTTTCTGGCTGTGCTGCTCGACTGTCAACGTATTCTTTGGCATCCACAAAAAAGATTTGACTGTTCTGTTGGACAACTGTAGTAAGGTTTTCTGTTTGAAGTGATGGGTTTAACCAGTTGCAGAAGTGTCCCAGGTTAGTTAAGTTTCTTTTTTTTTTTTTTTTTTTTCTTTTTTAAACATTTTTTATTATTATTTTTAAAAAACAACAACAACAAAAGTTTCAGTGAATTCCTTTTTTTTTTTTTTTTTGTTCCCTGAGCTCACACTGGGGTCACTCCAATAAAACACGTAGCGCGACTTCACTGTGACCTTTGAAGCCAAAACTGAAGTAATGGTGCAATTAAGTGCAAACACGGAAATTCGCCTGACTCGTCGGTAACATGGGCTTTGAACAACATTTAAGGCTTATTGGGGACATTTTATGCATTAAATTATTGTCATATTTATAATGTCAGCTTCTGTGAATCACCCTCCCACAAGGAGTCAACAGCTCATAACCAGGATTTAAGGAATAAAATAAAAATAAAAAAAAATAAACAAAAAAAAAACAGGATAAAGGACAGGGAGGAATAAATTCACCATTTCCATTGTAGCGTTTTGTTGGAAAATCAGAGGGCTGAGCGTGCTCCTTCCCCCTGGCTGCAGTGCCTGGGGCTGAGCACGCTGCTGTGCAGGGGAGGCTCGGGTGGGTGCAGGCTGCCCAGTCCCCCCAGTGCTCCTAAAAGATTTTTCCCTCTCTGTCCTTCCCCACGCCTCCATTCCAGCTTGCTGAGCGCTAACCCATGAACCTGAGCAAACTGCTTCTGGGGGCCGTGGCCGAGGTGCCGCCTCGGGGACAGGAACAACCTGGGATGGTTTCCAATCAGAAGGGAAAAAAAAGCAATGACTGAGGTTTTTCTACAAACACAAACGTAACGTGGCTCTCTCCCGCCCCGAGCGCTTCCCCCCCCACCAAACTCATTGTGCTTTTGTCGTTATTTATGTTAGCATCGTGTACTTTCCTCCCTTGTCAATGCACGTGCCCATGGCTGGCTTCCCTGCTCAGCTCCCGGCCCCTGCCTTTACCCCGATACAGCCCAAGGAGGGAGATCTGCCCCTCTGGAATAATGCCCATCGCGTGGCCACCTCCGCAGGAAGCGAGGCAGCCGGAGGGGACAACTACTGTCACGGCAATCTACGTTGGTGAAGCTGAAGCTGTATCTCAGGCAAAAAGAGAAGAGAAAGACAACGGTGCCGAATTTCCAACTATATATACAGATTAAAAATCCCCCTCTCGCTGTGATACTAGGCAGAAATTGGCCATGGCAGTTGTGACGGGAGGAGCGGGGTGGCCGCGTGCCGTTAGGAAGCCAGGATGCTCATCCGTACGATCTCCTCGCCGCCCGGCTCCAGCTGGCCCCGCTGCGCCCGGCCGCTCCGCGGCTCCCCATCCGAGTCGCTCATCTCGGCGTCGGAGAAGTAGCCGTCCGTCTCGGCCTCGAAGCGGTGCAGGGGGGGCCCTCCGGGGCCATCGGTCTTGGGGGGCTGCGAGCGCCGAGTCCCTCGGCTCTCCTTTGGTAATTTGAACCGCACGACGGTTTTCGGGCTACCTACGGGGTCAGGCACTTGAGCCGTGGGGTTGGACTCGGGCCGAGCGCCGTTGGCCGCCACCACCGCCTCCTCCTCTCCGGCGCAGCCCCTCGGGGCCGGCGGGTCGCTGCCTTTGGGGCCGGGCCCCTTCCTCGCCGCCCTTTTTGCCTCTCCTGATCCCCTGCGGTCCGCGGGCCTCGCCGCCCCTTTCTCCGACCTGCCGGGCCGCGATTCCTGGGCGCAGGGCTTGGCAGCATCATCTGACAGGTCGCTGGTGTGGTTAGTCCACCGCTCCGAGCCCTCCTGCTGGCTCCTGAAGACGGCGGTCAGGCCGCTCCTGGGCAGCTTTTTCTTAGTGTTCGTTCTCATTTTGCTTTTCACCTTCTTGGCGGCCTCGCTCTGTTTGAAGGGCGACCTCAGGGAGTGGTCCATCATGAAGCTGAGCAGCGTCTCCTCGTCCTGGAGCAGCTCCTCGGACAGGCCGGGCGTGCTGTCCTCGTGGTGCGCGTTGTTCAGGGACCACTCGCTCATGGCCATGTTCTCAGCCGTGATCTGCACCGACTGCGCCAGCCAGCTGTTGAAGAAGGTCCCGTCGATGGGGAAGGAAGTCGACAAGCCTGGGAAAACAAAGGTGGAGAACTGGCTCAGGAACCAGAAGCAGCTCTTCCCTTTGAATAAGAACACACAGCACTCAGCAAAACTCCCTGATGCTGGATAAACTCAAAACGACTCAGCGTGCCTCGTGAGGAACCAGGAGGGGGCTTGCTGCTGTGTTAATTTGACTCTCGGGTCACACCACATACAGATCTGAGCAGAGCATCTTCCTGCAGCACTGAAAAGCAGCCTGGACCCGCAGTGCAGTGCAGGGGCAGCAGGACAAGGAGGGATCAGCATCCCCTCCCAGGAGCTGCTGCACAGTCCTGCCCAGGGATGCATCCTGTCTGACCCCCACTGCTGCCCCACTGCCTACAGCACTGCGCTAACCCAGTTCCCAGCACACTCCTGAACAGGCAGTGAACCCTAACGCAGCACGGCTTGGGTGAGATGGGAGGAGGGTCTGGGAGCTCTCACCGAGCACTTGGAAGCATGAGAATCAAAGAGCGGCAGCAGAGATGACAGGCTGGAATGGAAAAAGCTGAAAAGCATCCTAATAATTCTGTCTGAGAGCAAGAGTGAGCATGATGGGCTGGGACGTGCCAAATCAGCAGACCGAGAAGCAATGCCAAAGGCACACAGGCACAACCAGCTTCAATCCCTGCAACAGAAACCCATCGGTCTGACATCACAGCTTCCTTCAGGGCTGGGGGAAAGATGAGGTCTGATTTTTGCTGTGAGTGCTTGCCTGTCAAAGTCGCAATGCAGAGATGGAGTGGTGGTGCTCTGACTCACAGCACGGTGAACACATCCCCCCAGATGATGCATGACTGCATGGGTAAGCACCCCAGGAGTTAACTGCTGCTATGAAGCTGCAGCGAGCCCAGCCTGGAACTGTCACCCCAAGGAAGTTCCCCTATGGTCCTTCTACAGAACAATCCCCATCAGCTCAGGGATGATGAGCTCAGGGCACCCCAAGGTTCCTCCCCCATCACGGCAGCCCCAAGCGATGCCTCAAGCAATTTGTAAAATCCAGCACACTGCAAGACCCTGGTGAAGCTCTGCAAGACTTCATTCCTCTTCTCTGCTGCCTGGTTATCCAGACTGACTGAAAGGCAGTTTCTTTCCACAACCCTGTAGGCCCCCATTCAATATGACAGCTTGCCCCAGAAAACTCCCCCTGCTCTGCTGGTGGGGATGCAGCTGATGGAGCAGAGCAGGAGGTGGGAAAAGCATCTGCTGGAATGGCACTGATGGTGCTGGAGGTACATGCAAGCAAAATGGCACAGAAGATGTACAGGATCTGCCCTGCTTTGAAGTGGGTAAGTCTGATTTTATCACTGAGTGCAATTGCAGCTATTCTTGCACACTGTGCAACCCCGAGGCTGTTTTACAGCCTGGACCCAGCAGGGTGAGGTCTCTGCTGCAGCGCTGTGGCCGTGGCATGCTGGGGCTGATCCCACATGGGATGGGCTGGGGGCTGCACCGCGCTCCTCAACACTGCTCTCCAAAAGCAGGAGCCTCTGGAGAGCCGCCAGCCCACGAGAAGCTCTGTGCCCATAAAATCAGACTTACCCAGTTGTCCCAACACAGTTTCGTTGACTGATTTCCTTTTTTCTTTCTTCTCAGGGCTATTTTTTCTACCATCTCTTCCTTTCCTTCTCGGATCACTTTTCTTACCCTTTGTCTTCTTCCCAGTTTGTTCTGGCATTTTTTAAAGAAAAAGGAAAACTGCGTGTGAGACGAGGCACCAGGATGAGCCAGCTCCACAGGGCACACATTGTAGGGACGAAGGCTGTGCTACTTCTTAGCCAAAAGTAGGCTCACATCTCTATAGGATAAGGAAACGTGAATCCTGTAGGCTACATAAAAGAGGTTTGGGCTGTGGCTGTGAGCTTGGCATGGCCGCAGAAGCGGTGCCACTGAAGGCAGCAGGCTCACTAGAAATTTTGCAGCCACCAGGGCACCCTTCTGGAATGGATTTGGGGGCTGTAGGGAGAAACAAGAGGGACACCCCCAAACTTTGCTCTGAAACCTTCCAGAAGATGAGAAACATCTGCTCTGGAAGATTCACAGAGATCAGGAACAAGCCCAAACCTCACTATGAAACTCACCAGGAGATGAGAAATAACCCCAAAGTCCATTCAGAAACCATCCAGGAGAGCAGGAATGCACACAAACTGTTCTGAAGCCCTCCAGGAGACCAGGGACCCTCTGAACCTGCTGGGCACATCATGGAAACTGCCTGTGCACGGCCCAGGCTAGCTGTGGACACAGCTGCAGGACAGACTGAGCTGCAAAGCATGTAGCATTGGCAGCATTTTATAGCAAACCTTGGTGTGATTTTACCTTTCAGCTGTGGTAACTGTTTACACTCATACCAGGCAGTGGTGGAAAAAAACAAAGCTATAAAACCGGTGTATTGAACACAGCTAAACGGAGGAGGAAAGATGAGCAACACAGCCTATGGAAAGCCAGGAATGTAACTGCAAGCTATGCAGCCGTTCAGCTAAAAATCAATGTTTCCTAAATGGTTTTGAATTTCTACTGGATTTATTCCTCTTGGGTAAACAGGACAAATACATACCCTATAAAAGTACAACTTGTATTGCCAAGCGCAATACTCCAAAGGTTTTTAGTTACTCTCTCAGGCCCAGAGAATTCTGTGCTAAAACATCCATATTGACTTTTGAAGGGGGAAGGACACTGCTCTTACACCAGCGTTTGGGCAGCTGATGGAGGTGAGCCATGCAGGCTGTCAGCCTGGCCAACAGCTCAGACCTGCACAAGCCAAGCAGCTACCAAAGCAACAATGTTAAGAACTGGACACTGTTCCTGATGCAAGTGCATCAATTTGCTGTGTTGGATGGGGGCATCCCAGAGAACAGCCCCTCTCCTTCCAGCTGGGCTGGAAATGCATGGGGCAAGCAGAGGAGGGCATCTGCACAGCACCTGCATGCACAGGGGATTTACACTCCCAGGGTTGCCAGAACCCCTCACAAGCACAGGGCTCACCACAAGAAAGAAAAGCAAAAGCAAAATGGGTATTTGCTGCATTCCTGCCAAATAACAAGAGGAACAGACACATTTTTCACTTTGCTTGCAAAATGAAAACATATCTTTGTTTGGACAGCACAATGGATCTAAAGAAAAACGTGAACATTACTTTTTGAAGAGGGACCTGTCAAAATAGCAACCATGTTTCAAAGCCAGACAGCGTTTTCTATCCGCTTCATGCAATAAAAATAAGGGAGAGAGAGATGGGTTCATCTTACATGGGCAGTTCTCACTGATTTTATTAAAAATCTCCTGCTGAAATCATCATTTATCAGTGAGAAAAAATAAACCCCTCAAGAATGGCGCTTCATATGGGAGCCATTCCAAAAGCAACCTGAGCTAAAACCATCTCTGGGATAAGCCCAAAAGACTTTGGTTATAGCTGCAATGAAAGCAGTTAAAAACCAGCTTTGTCCGGGCAAAACAATGCAGATTTTCTTCCTTTTCTGAGAAACTGCAGGCATGCAGAGCAATCCAGTCAGGAGCAGCACAGAGGGATTGCTACAGGGACCATTCCCCATTGACTGCAACTCACTCAGCCACCAAACCACTCTCCAGTCACTAACGATGCAGAACACAGCAGCATGGTATCCATAGGTTTGGTGCTGTGAGCTGCTGAGGATCTTTAGCTCTAAGTCACCTGAAGCGAGGAGGCCCAGCAAAATGTGGGTGCTGAGAGCATTGTGCAGGATGAGGGTGGCACAGGTGGGATGTGGGCACCGAGGATGGGAGCAGTGTGTAGGGTTGGAGGAAGGATGGCCTGAGGGGTGGGATGTGCTACCCCACAGTGGGGAGCTGTGCTGCCAACAGAAAATAAAACACCAAAATGCTCTTTGACCCACGGAAAGGGAGGCACCAGGGAGGCACGCAGCAGGTGAACAGCAGCTTGGCTCAGCAGCATAAAGCTCACGGGTAAATGCAAAGTGTTTGGGGCTACATGAGAATACCACTTGCATCAAAACGCAATTACAAAGCCTGCATCTGCTGTAAGAATCGCCCCATAACTACAGTCCTCAGGGCAGGCTAAACACTCACAGGTATTCCAGTTCCCCCCACTGCACCCCTAACCCCACTGGGAGCTCTCACCCCATGCTCTGGTGCTCCAGCTCCATTCAGTGCTGTGCTGGAAGGCAAATTCCCACCCTGTCAAAAGCCTTCCTGGAAAAGGATCCAGCTGAAGAACTGGGTTCAGCCACCTTCCCCAAACAGCCAACGTGACAGCAGGCTGTGCTCCTGAAGCAGCCCTTCCAGTGAAACCTGTTAATCAGGGGAGCAGCAACCTGCCCCTGCCATCAGCCCACATCCTCATTGCACACCCTGGGCCCTGTGCTGCCCAGCTCTGGCCACGCAGGGCAATCTGCAGAGGATCCAAGCCCCACACGTCTCAACACGCACACGTCTTGGCCTCCAAAACTTCAGTCAAAGGAAACTTTTGTAAAGGAAAGCTCAGCCCAGACAGTTCCTGAAGAAACCCCAAACATGTGATGGCTTCAAATGCAACTCCAAAGCCACAAACACAACAAGAGTCAGATGCGTTTGCCAAAACTCCAGATGCTGCTTCTGGAAAAACTGTTCTGCAGCCACAGAGCCTGGTCCTGTGCTGCCACTGAAAAAAGGAGGAGGGATGCAGGGCTGTGGGTTTGGGCACAAAAGGGGAAAAAAAGAAAAGAAAAAAAAAAAAGACAGAAGGAAAGCAACTTTATTTCAGTTTCTTAATGAAGAGGTGCCAGAGGCTTTGCAGGAAGTACGTGTGTCATTCCCACTAACCAGAATGAGGAGCAGGAAAAACTACAGGCCGCAGAGCTGAAGGAGGTAAAAGCCATCCCATCCACAGCTCAACTTCTGACACAACCAGAGGAAACCAAACAGACCCCAGAGCTGTTTCATAGAGCCAGGCAGTGCTGAGGAGCAGCACCGTGCTTTCAAAACAAGGAACAGAACCAAGTGTTCCTGCAGCAGCACCTTCATGTGAACCCTGGGATTCTGTTTTTTAGCACCAGCACCTAACAGCATTCATCTGAGTGAGGGTTGGGAGGGATGTGTGACAGCAAGGACTGCTGGCACCTCAGTCACCCACGGTAAGGCATTATTGCATGCTTGAGAACAAAGCTCTAAGTGTTTGATGAATCAACATAGGAACTGTGCTGGAAGCACCCAGCAGGGCAGGGGTGGTTCTGCCTTCCTCTGCTGGGGGACTGAGGTTCAGAGGAGGGCACTGAACAGCTCCTGCAAGCAGTACTGACCTGGGTAAAGATCTTTCTCAATGAGAATCATCTGCAGGTGGAAGATCTGCTCCTGGAGTTTACAAATGGTGTGTTTCATTTTCTCCCGTCTCGTCACCATGTAACAGAGATTTCTAACCTACAGAAACACAAGAAACAGCATGTGGTTTAGCAGGGCTGGAAATGAGTCCCCAAGCTGCATCACTGCTCTGCTGCCTGGGGACAGCTCTGTGCCCGGCATCCATCCCCTTATCCCAGCCTCACCCAGGTTGTACACAAACACCCATGTTAGTCTGTAACCTCTCCTTCACACGCTGAGCTCACAAGCAGGATTCACACTCCTGCACCCATGCTTTCTAACACAGCTCTTAGGCAGGAAAACAGGGCCAGGGCACCGGCCCTGAGCAGTCAGGATTAACCTGCAGTGCGTTGTTCAACCTGTGCTGCTGCTGAACGTCAGTGCATAAAAAGAGAGCAATGCTCACCAAAAGGGAATAGAGCCAAGAGATCCCCAGGTACCTTACCAGAAATCATTCAGCAACAGTGTGGATGCATAAACTGTTGTAACCTCCCATCAATTGCTCACAGGCCTAATGATACAGTTAATGTTTCTAAAGGATTCCATGTCTCAGAGGTTGGGATGCTGCGGGAGCAGCACTGTAATGCAGTTGGGGTCTAGGGCACCTCCTCCTATCATGGGCTCCCTCACACCAGGACTTGCGCCAGAAGTTGTGGGGCTATTGGAGAACTATTTCCACTTTTATCCATGAATTCTTCTTTTGCATCCAGCATGGAGGTTGGCAAGGAGGGCAGAGCCAGGCCCAGCAGTGTGGGGCAGCAGCATAGCTGTGCTGCCTGCATGAGCCATGTAGAACTGCCCACTGCCCTACAGCAGGTACTGATCATGTAGAAATGCAGCAGAACACCCAGCTGACATCAGACTGTGCCAGTAGCCACGTGCAGGTTGGCTGTCCTGACCCACAGCTGGCCAGCATCTTCCCCTCCACACACTGATTTACGTTTGCCCCACAGGTACCTGCAGCCTCACTTTGTTTTGTATTACAGCTCATGACATTTTACCAACCGAGAGGGAAGCTCTAAGTGCAAACAACCAAGCAAAAGAGATAAGCTTTTCCCTAGCAAAGTGCACTTAATGCTCCCTTCTCCGGCCCCAGCCCCCCCAGGACAAACCCCTACCAGCACATCCATCGGGGGCAGGATGCATCCCCCACTGCTTGCAGCTCTCATGCAAACCATTGGCATCACAGTTGTTCCTCATGGGCGTGCAGCTGCAGACAGCTCCAGTGCCAACTCAGTGCCACAGCTCAGTGCCACTGTGTGCAGCATAACTGGGGGCAGCTCAGCTCTGTTACCAGGGCTGCAGCCATGCAGTGCTCCCCCAGGATGCATGGATGCTTTCAGTGGGGTTAGCTGAGCTATGAACCCACACGTGGATACAGCAAGTAGCCTGGGGCCTCACTGCTGCCTGGGGACAGTTTGGGAGCACTCAGGTGTACAGGAGAGAAAAGTTCTTTCTTTTTTTCTTTTCTTCCCCCCACTCCCCCCATCTCCTGGCTGTAAATATACAGCACATAGCTTGCTTTTTCATATTTTACTACATTCTCTTTTTTTGTTCTGGATGGAAGAAAACATCAAACTGAAATTTCTTTATGAGGAAAACAACTGCCTCTGGCAAGCAGTATATCAAAGTGTTTGGCAATATCTCCTCTCTGCAATTTTATACTCCTGGAAGAAAGCATCACTTGCACTCTGCTTAGAGACTGCTGGTATTTACACACACTTAGACAGTAAAACACCACCCGCACTGCTTCCCCCAGCCAAGCTGAGATGCTGGGAAGAAAGCCTGGGAACCATACAGCTTTTTGTACAGCTAATTTAAACAGTCAGCTCTTGGTAAAGGCTTTAAAGCAAAAAGAGCCAAGAAGAAAAGGAGGAAAAGTGGGGAGGACCACATCAGGATACCCAGGAAATGGGACTGGCACATTTGCAGACCTCAACCCTGGGTTCACTTCTAAATATTGCCTGGAAAGCTGCTGGGAGCTGCCATCATCCCAAATCCACCCTGGCCAGGTGAGAGCCTCCTGGGACAGCTCAGCACAGTGCTCTGTACAGGGATACCCAACCACGTCCCTCCAGCAACAACAGCCCTGACGGAGCACAGGGGTTTGCCATTACAGGGAAAGCCACACTCACCCTCTCCAGGTCTTGCCTGAGGTGTGTGAAAAGCTTCAAGCGCCGGTAGAGAACATCCTGCTCCTGCTGAGCCAAGTTGTCCACTTCATCCGTTTTTGGTGTCAGCAGCGGTTTGTTGGAGTTTGCTTTCCTCTTCAGCTTCCAGTACTGATAGACAAAATCCACCAGCGACTCGCTTAAATCAAGGTTCTCTGCCACCTCGGAAGGCTTCACGAGTTCATAGAAGTCCTCCTCCAGCTGCTGGAGCTTTTGCTTCCGCAGCGTCACCTTCTCCAGGTCCAGCTGGGCTTGATCAGGCTCTGTCCGTGTCTCCTCAGGCAGTTTGGTGGCACCGGTGCTGTGCTCCAGGCAGAAGGACTTGAACTTCACTTCATCGTTGTCTGCTAAAATAGTCCGCATGTCGAGGTTGTGGTCAAAGGCGCAGGTGACGTGGAATGCGGTGACGCAGGCGGGCATGGAGCACTGTGGGGAGAAGGACAGGGCTGGTGGTGAGGGCACAACGGGACCACAAGACACAGCTTCACTAAAGGAGTGATGCCCTCAGGGGGACAGCACCCGCCCCCAAGCCATGGATGCTCAGTAACACGCATTGCTCAGGCTACATTGCCCGAGTCCTACACACCAGTGAGGGTGGGCACCAAAATCCCCATCAGAAGGAACCCAGGGCTCACCAGGCACCTCCTCACCTAACCTGCTTGTGTTCTCTGTGACAAGCCCTGATGCCTTTCACCTACCACAAATACAAGACTCTGACAGTTCTTCCGGCAACACATCAACAACACACGGCCAGCGGGATGCCCAGAGATTGAAAGCTGATTTATCCTGAGAAATTTCCATCTTTATTTCATCCTGTTCCCTACCCTACTCCATTCCTATGCCATTGTTAATGACAGCCTACAGGTGTTAAGGTTTGGGAGCGAACGGAGTACATAAGCAGCAGCCAATGCTCCAGATTACGATCCCTTACTCTTCTGGAAGCTATACAGACTTTAATTAGCTCCATTTAAAAAAAAAATAGGAAAGAAAAATGAAATTCGCCATATACAGAGCAAATATGCTCTGTATATTCACAAAATAAGGTTTGAGAATTGGTTCAGTGACTAGACTTACCAGATGGGCACCAGATGAAAGCTTTAACCATTTCCCTAACTTACCTTACACTTCCGTTACTTGAATCTCACAGACAGCAAAACAGATGAACCCCAAACCTGGTTTCCTACAGACGAAAAGCAACCCACCACCAGAACATCACCAATTTCCACATCAGCACATTCTCCCCCTCTGTTCATTAACTGTTTTTTAATGGCTCAGAATGTCAGGTAATTGCTTCAACCATAACCCGTAAGAAATCAGTCTCCTCCAGCTGCTAATGACCATTTAAACTGCAATAATGAGGCATTTTAAGTGAACTATTACTGTAGCACAGCATTTCAGCATTATGCAGGGACTGCTCTGGCAGGGCAGCGGGGTGCAGCAGCAGCCTGGCCACGAACCTTCCTGCACACGGAACACAAACCACCAGGATGCTGTAGGGTTCCACCAGGGCTCTGCTGTGCTGCACTTTCATGTTCAAAATGAACAGAAAAGAAATGCTGCTAGTATCTGAGGACCAGAAGTTGGATTGCCAAGCATTAGTATGCCCAGGGGTGGATGCTGGGCAGTGATATGCAGTCTCCCAGCAGTGATATGCTGCTGGTGGAGCAGGTGGTGGCACATGGCTGCCACCAGGGCTGGGACTTGGCATCCACCTACTTGCCACATCCATCCATACTCACATCTCCAGGTATTGACATGGAATACAAACAGCTCAACTCACTCTATTCAAATACATCCTCTTATTCCTAATTTCAGCCCGGAACTGCTTGTGAAGGTGGCTGCCAGCTTTTGGAGGAGTTAATATATCATGTGCTGGCTTTTAAAGTGCACACGCTCGCTCCTGCAGTCACGGAGAGAGATTTACTACAAGGAGGAGACGCAATGTCATTTGATGGAGTCCCTCTTCCTCACTTTAATGGCACATTAAGGTTGGAAGCCTTTGCCAGCTGTAAGTTCCTTTGATTGAGTTTTCTTGTCTGGTAGCCAAGATGGTAATCTTACTGCACGGAGATATATAGCCACGGACATACTGTTGTGTCTATTTTGGTGTAACAGCTGGGGGTGCTTCAAATTAAATCATCGGGAAGATCCTTTTGTGTTGCAGTGCACATAAATACCTACAGAGACAGGGACACAGCAGCCTGTGCTGGGGACAACCCACAGCAGCGTGATGGCATTGTCAGCACATCCAGGGCTCACTGGGACGGCACCAGCAGCAGGGGCGATCACACCTCAGGAATAAAGCAAAGGGAATGACGTACACCCTGGATTCCTCTTCCAGCAGATGGCAAGCAGCAGTTGTCAGAAACTGCGCCCAAAACGCAAACAAAACAATGAGGCTGCTCCAATGACAGGGCAACAAAGGATCATACGCAGCCAGAGCTCTCAGTGACCTTGTCTGAGCCACAAGTAGGCACACATCGATCCATCTCAGCCCTGGTGAGCACAGTGGTGCTGGGACGGACTCATCTGTGTGGGTGCTGCCACGTGGAACAGCCTGGGCGTACAGAGTGGGCACTCCCTGACCCGCTCTGCATCCAATCGTGCTCCTTGTCCCACAGTTCCTTTAGCTCCAGGATTTCAGAACATCTGCTGCACCAGGTAGAAGCAAATCCATTCCCAAACAAAATTCTGAAATGGTGAAGGCTGCCCCAGAGGTCGATGCGGGCTGTTAATTAGTCCTCAAACAAATCTTGGTGGGAAGAAGTAGAGGGATGACTTTATCTGCCCATGAAATTCAAATACTGCTAACCATGAAACCCAGCAGATGTTTAACAGCTTACAGCGGTGCTATGCTGCAGTTCTAGGGCAGAAGTGGAAGGAAGTGGCTACTCCAACAAAACTGCAAGGGAAATTTAGGAAGGAAAAACCAATTACCAGTGCTGAACCCCAGCCAAGCCATCAGATACGACACTTCTGCATCCTCACAAAGAAATGCCATGTGATTTTTAGTGACCACAGATGGGTTGGTTCCTGGTGGCACTTTTCAGACACAACATGCAATTTCAGCCCTGCTGTGTCCTTGGAGGATGACAGGGCCCCACTTCACGCTAGGGCTCAGGATGTTGGTGAGCACCCACACCACTCTTCCCCCGCTCACAATTCTCAAGTTTTTGCATGATATCAGCAAAAGATGATGTCCATTGCAGAAGACTGCCACCAGCTAACAGAGATGCATCTCTTCGGGCTGTCCTGAAAAGCAAGTTCTTTTAGAAGAGACAGTTGCTGTTTCCAGCAAGGAGGGCACTGGGTTTCTCTGTCCACAAGTGTGCGAGGACGTGGGCTGCACACATCCTGGCTCCTGGCACTTTCTCTTGTAGTTCAGCAATGCAAACAAGAAAATTCCTGCTGGATACTGAGTGCTCCTTGGCACATCCTGATGTCTGACCACAAGAACCACCACATAAAGTCATGACTTCCCCTTAAGAGGGGATGGGAAAAGTGTGTTTTCAGGGCTGTATTATTATATCCAGCACAAGGGAGCACTGGATCAACTACAGCAGGTTTACAGCTTTCTACCAGAAAAACAAGAGAAGTAATGATGTGCAAGCAGCAACATCAGAGGCACAGAGAGTTGGAGAGGGCACAGAGTTGGAGAGGGCAGAAGGTATGCTTCCCTTTTGGCGGTCAAATCTAGATGGGAAGAAATACCTCAACACACAGAGATGCCTCACATTGGTCTCTGACAACAGTGGAGATTCCTGAAGCTGCAGTTCTGTCTGTAGGCACCCACATGCCTGTTGGGGATGACAGGCTCCTGCTTTCCAGCTCCCTTCCAGGGATATTGCCTCTTGTCCTGGCTCAGCCTGGTTCCAGTCACTCAGATAAACCTGTCCTGGAAGCAGCAAGGACCTTCTGCAGCCTGCGGGCACCTGGAGCATCAGCGCCTGCTGCCAGGAGTGAAAGCTGAGTGCTTTAACAGCAAACAACCCTCTTCTTTCAGAGCTGTGTCATAAACCTAAAACGCTGACAAAGGTAGTTAGATTACACCTGTATAAACAGGCACTAATCAAAAATATGCTCCATAAACATCAGCTCTCAAAACACATCTCTCCACCTCTGATGCGTATGGAACATGTTTATTTATCTACGAGTGAGCCTGCTGATTTACTCCACAAATCCTCAAACAAAGGCGCTGCTTGCTTCTTTTTCCTCCTTTTCCTTGAAACAAAATCACCCTGAAAGCATTCAGGTAGCATCAGCAGACACTCCAGTGACAGCCTCATGAAGTCACATCGGACAGTAAAGCTCCTGTTCCATTTCAAGTGACATTTAATGCAAATCCATGCAGTCCCAGGGACTGCACTGCTAACACGTAATGCCGGTGCTGAGAGGATGAAGCCCCGGAGGAGCTGAATTTTCTTTGATGCTGCCAAGCCTGTTTGCCTCCTCTCCCTGCCCTTCCGTTCTTTGAAAGCAGTTGCCGCTATGACACAGTATCTCCATCTGGCAGGGTGAATAAGCAGATCCACCCAGAACCATCAAAAAAAAGAAAAAAGAAAAAAGAAAGAAGTGAGTCAACACTAGAGATTTAAAGAAGTATTGTGAGGTTTCATTTCAAGCCAAGGGGATTGCTTTTAAATAGCTCCCTTTAGAGTATTAAACCTGAGGCAGTCACACCAACGCAGCGCAGCCCTCAGCCCTGTTCCGTCACCCTCCTGCCACCAGCCAGCTGCTCTGCTCTCCAGTACTCACTGTCGCACGCATCCACCTCCGCGGCGCAGCTCCCAGTGCTGTACAGGAGCTGATTAGCTGGGATTGGGATGCATCCAAACCTTTCTCCCTATTTTTCAATGCTTAATGGCTATTCCATGTCCCTACTGCATGCCAAGACTGCTTCCACATCTGGTCTGCCAAGGAAAGCATGAGCACCGGCACCATACAGCTGCAGATCCCAGCCCATCCCCGGGGACCGCCAGGGTGAAGCTTGATGCAAGTGACCCAGCAAAGCTTCTGCACTGGGAGCATAGCCCTGAAGCTCTGTCCCACTTCTGTAAGAAGAGAGTCCTGAGCTTCTGCTTTTAGCTGAACACCTCACCACCCTCGTCAGCATGCTGCTGCTGTGGGAAGAGCAGGAAATCGGATGTCTGCGGTGCTCAGCTTAGGTGCAGCAAAACAGGAGAACATCTGGGAATGTAATACGCAGTAAATACTCTATTTTGCAAGCCAGCAGGCTTTGGGGGGGGGGACGCCAGGGGGGGGGGAAGGGGGAGCTGCCTGATCCTGAGGCTTCCTGCTGTCCCCCTCGAGAAAGGCTTCACATCCAACCCTACAGCTTGTGAAATGCTCAGACTTCAAATCCCATGAGAAATGGACTTCCTGGCAGCCACGCCAAGCCCTTCCGCTGGGGGTTCCTGATCTCCAACTAAGGTCATCTGCAGTCCTGATAATTAGTGTCACCACAGCAACATCACTGCATTACCCAAAAGAAAGTTCATCTAGGTTCCTAGCACTCAATACATTAAAAGACTGCAAACAACAACAGCTGATGATGTCTGATTGGTGCTCACTCTCCTTTTTAGGTGTGATCTTGGGACTCAGGCCAGGAATGAACCCAGCCTGGATCTCGTCCACCAACTCAAGAATCGAGAATCTCTTGTGGCTACTACAGGCACGACCATGGGGTCTGAGTTTCCTTGCTGCTGATTCACGTACCTGAATGCAGGTCCCAGTGCACTCCTTGCAGAGGCTGCAGGACAAAGCCCATCTGCTTGCTGGGATATGTGAGATCTTTGTAATGGGTTCCATTTTTTCAGGACATCCAATGCTAACCTGGTCACAAAATAGAAGACATTGTCAATACCTGTTACTATCCCAAATCTCCTACAGGGATATTTGAAGCAGTCAGAATGAGGGGTAGATATTTTGTTTCTTATTTTTCAAGTCACTCGTAACTTGGGTAAAAAACCCAACACAAAAACCAGAAACAACTATAGACGATGCTCTGGACTTTCTTTTGCATCCACCTGCCTGCCAATTTGAGCTAGTGTTTGCCCTTATTGTTCTGAATGCTGGTATGTCCTTGTCTTTCTGGCACTCCTCTTTGCACTTCACATCAAGGGAGGACAATATGACACTTCACCCCTCCTTGGGGAGCACGGGTGTTTCCCATGAGCAGGGCAGCAGCTTGCACCCTCCAGTGTCCTCCTTAATGGGGAGAGCTGCTTGGCTGCTAATTAAACACTCAGCTTGGTGCCTGATGGGCACTGCAGCTCCAACCTCAGCAGGGCTCAATGAGCCCAACTGGAATTGCTGTTGATGGATATCTAAGCTCAGACCTGGGGTAATGCTATAACATGATGGAAAGTACAGCAACAATAGTGGAGTAGCAAAGTTCTGGGCTGCAGCAAATGATGGCAAGCCCAAACGCAGCAGCCATGGATACAGGAATGAAGGATGAAAATCTGCTTACTTTGGAAGGCCTCACGCAGGCAAGGATCCCCTTGCCTCCACTGCCAACCTTTAAATGAGGTCTGGGAAGGGGTGGATCCTGGCTCCAGCCCTTCCAGTCACTCAGCTGCATTGCACGCACCTGAGCTCCCCTGGGTTGGCCCTGCCTTCCCAGCAGGTGCTCCATCACTGCTTCAAGCTGTGACTTTGCATTTTCGCTACACCTGGAAATCATGTCTGTGCCATATTTCAAGAGAAGGTTGGAAAGCATCTTACTTACTTCAGGTATCCATAAGGCACAGCTAACGTGGACCCATTTTGTCCCGCTCCGAGTGGGCTTCAGTGCTCCCCCTCTCTTCGGGCACAGCAAACACTTGGGCTGGACGCCGAGGGCACAGGTCCGGCACAGCCAGCTGCCAATGGGGACCTTCAGGATGCCATAGCATGCCTGTGAGACAGGAGGAAGGTTGGTTAACCTGGCCATCCTGCAGTGAGCATCCTCCTGCAGCATGGCACACTTATCGCCACAGCATCTGGGTGTCCTGGTAAAGAACAGCAGACACAAAACTGCAATTAAAGCAGCCAGTTTAAGTTCTTCCTTCCTTGTCACGTTCCTTATTTTCACATGGATACTCATGCTGTATCAATATGTCCTGGTTTTAACTAAAAGCTGAGTGTACAAATGTGCTTTATATCCTGCAAATGGGAGCAAAAGCAGTGAGAGCAGCTCCTCGATACGGACATCTGCCCACTTATTACACATGCACTTCTGAACAACTCCAAAATCACAGTGGCTCACAGAACTGCCAGCTTGGGTGTGACCTGGTCCAGTGACCCAGAGACATGGGGTTTGCATCAGCAGCTCTCTGTGTGCAAAGGATGGGCAATGAGAATGTAAAACCAGCATGAGAGGAGCACAAACACACCTTGAGCTGACCCATCCCACGAAGCATGGGGTGGTGAATCTACCTCGAGGGTAGATAAGGGCTGTGAAGCCACAACCCTACAATTGGGAAAAATGGCCACACTGGTTAAACACCCAGCACAGACCAAAGGGGGAAGTGAAAATAACTGCGTAAAAGTAAAAAGGGGAAACTGACAGTAATGAATATAAATCAGAAGGGAGGAGCCCCAATCAGGAAGAGTGATAAACCCAAAGGACTCGAGGACATATCTGTGGCCAAGGCAGTGGGAAGCAGAAGAGAACAAAAGGACTCTGCTGCCTGCAGAGCCAGCAGACCTGCTGCGATAACACACGGCACAGACAAGCCAAGGGGCTCAATAAATATTTCTCTTCCGTACTTGGGGAAGAGCCAAATGATAAGCTGTATCACATAATGATAATGATAAAATACTTTCCACTTCAGCAGTAACTTATGATTGTAAGTTACATACCACTAAAACTGGACAGTCTTTAACCAGCAGGTCCCTATGACTTGTACTTAAGGAGTTTTAAAGAGTAGCAGGCAGCTGCCTTGGCCACTGACATGAGGCTGCAGGAAGTCTCACAGCACTGAGGGTTTCTGAGAGCAGTGGAGAAGCTCGTGCCTGTGCCATTACGTTAGGAGAGATGATTAATAACAAGTAATTACATGAGTATGGTACACTAGCATGGGAAAAGGGGATGCTCAGCCCTCACAGCCAGGGAGAGACTTTGTAGCACAATTTTAAGTTGCTCCAAGCCATAAATGGACTGACAGTAGTAACTTCCATGGAGAAAAAGTCACTTTTTGAACATACTATTGGGAAAATAAAGGAGGTAATATGACTGCTGCAGGTCTACATGGTTCACAGAGACTTAAAGGTGTTTCAAAGCACCTGCAAATGGGACAGACAGATCATTTCTGTAAGAGATTTTTATAAAGCACCTGATTTGGTATTAGGCAAAACCAAACAAACAACCCCAGCATGCATATCTGACCACGGCTCCTCCTCTGCTTGGAGGCTCTGGGCTTTGTTGCTATGTGAATGGGGAAAGAGATGGGATCTCTAAAACCTTCCAAGTGGGTGCTGGGGTTCAGACCCGAGTATGTGCCCCAAAAATAAGATAAAATCAGCCATTTCTTTCAACAGCCTTTAAATCCAACCCGCAGCATCTCCTTCTGCAGCATCATGCTGCTCCCAGCACGGAGGCTGCTGCTGGGCCCGTCCGTCTGTCCTGATGGAGCCCGGCCCCCACACTGCTGCACAATGGGCACACGTCAGCCCACAGCCAGAAATTTCCACTTGAGTTCACTAAAAAAGAAACACCAAAAAAAATAACCCGAAAAAAAAAAAAAAGAAACCAACTCCAAACCATCCCCAAATCATCCTGGTATTTTGTGGAATCTGATTCACTGATGGAAACCATTCAAAACACCCACCTCTCTCAACTATACATATCTCCAGCACTCTCCCACCTCCAGGAAATGCTGATGGAAAAGCTGCCCAAAAGATGAGAAAATGGAGAGAAAAAAAAAACCAACAAAACACCCTTCTCAGAAAGGAGAGTAAAAAGGGGCTCTGCTTTGGATGCTGACATCTAAGGGCCCCACTCCTGCACTTCCCATTGGAGCCCACCCAGCAAAGCGTCCCTGGAGCCCCCACAGCAGGGATGGATGCTCAGCAGCAGCACACAGCTGAGCACTGTCCTGCTCCCAGCATGTGTGCACAGGAGCCCACAGATACTGCTGCTCTTCCTTCTTCCTGCCAGCAAAGGCTTGCAGCCTTTACACTCAATTCTGAAAACATAAAATGCTTTCCTCCAGGCGGTGAAATAAAATGAAGTCATACATTCACAGAGCAGGGAAGCTGGGACAGAAGCTCTGTGATGTGTGACAAAGCTGGTGGAGCTGGAAGGTCCACCACCAAGGAAGGTCCAACAAAACCTGCAGACTGAAGGGAAGCCAGCAGCCATGCTGCTTGTCCCTAAGTGCTAAGGATCCCACAGCTTGGCAAGGACCAGGAACAACGAGCACATTCATGGAAGAGGAGGAATAAAAGATCACAGGGCTGAAGGAAAGAGGAGCGGGAGGCAGCACACTCAGGGAAGCAGCTCTCGGGCTGCTGCTCACCTGGTGCACGCAGACGTTGCACTTGTCACAGAACACCATCTCGTTGCCATCCTCCCCCTCTGGCGAGCGGCAGACGTCACACACCACGTCCTCGTCGTACTCGATGCCCAGACCCTCCTCTGTTTCAATGGCGATGTTCATGTTCTCGTAGCACATCGTCTCCAGCTCCTCCAGCACTCTCTCCAAGGTGATCTCATCCAGCTCGGGCTTTTCTGCAAGGCACAAAGCAGAGATGGGGACATGGCGCCCTGTGAGCGCCCGCAGCATCACACAAGGCGGGGGGCACTTGAGACTTCAGCTCGAATCAAAAGCTTGAAATCCACCGCGGTGGGAAGGTCTGCGATTCAGGAAACGGCTGCTTCTAACTCGGGATACAGTTCATGTTTCATAGACAGTAACAAAATATTGCTGCTGGCTGAGAGGAGAGAAATCCATTCAGCTGAACCAATGCGGATAATTAGGTCTGACAGCTTAAACGTTCAAGAAGACAAGTTCTGCGAAGATGCTTTCTGCAGTGAGGGCTCAGACAAGCTTTGGCAACACAAAGTCAATGCTTTAATTGCTAAGACTGTGAAAATTGACCCTTTTAAGGCCAATTAAATGGAACTGTAAAACGGAAGCCAAAGGTTGTTATTGAGAACAAACAAGTGTTTTTAACTGGCTGGGTCCACGGGCACAGGATCAGACCTGGGGTGGGAGCTCAGACTGGTTGTGCTGCCTGTTATCCCCGCCATACCAGTACCTTTAATGGAAACCAGCAGTGGACACGTGGATCTTTCTTACTAAAAGGCAACAGGAGACAATGTCTCCTTTATAAACAGAGGAGAAAAGGGACTGAGGAAGTACTGATGTGAGGTTATTCATGGAGAGTTCAAGGAAATATTCACCTTGCTGGGCTTCTGCTGGGCTGCAGAGTTCAGTCCATACGCTGGGACAAGCTCTGCAGCGGGACAAGGCTGCTGAGCTGCTCCTTTCTCCCACCAATCTGCCAAAAAATCTGAGTCAAGGGGCAAAGGAGACCCGCAGGCAAGACCAGCAAGCAAACGCACCATTGTCTGCCTTTTCAAGATCTTCCCCAATGTTTCGCCTTGGCACGGTTTCCCCTGGCTTGACAAGTCTCTGCAAACACCCAGCCTGGCACTGCACACATCTGAGTGGAGGCAGGGATCCCATCGCCGCAGACAGAGCTGCTCCCCATCGCTCCCTGCCAAGTGCTCAGCAGCCCTGCTGCAACACACAGCCGGTTGGGCCTGTTCTGTTGAGCCGGATCTGGGAGCCACGAGCCCCACCAAAGGGCTTTGTGGGGCCTGAGAACCCCCAGCCCAGCACACTTTTTCCCTCAACAGTGGCCCTCATAAACACACCACCCGAACGCCTTTGCTGTAGGAAGAAACACAAGCTGTCATTTCCATAGAATCGTAGAATGGTTTGGAAGGGATCTAAAAGACCACCTAGGGACCCTGCCATGGGCTGCTGCCCCCCACCAGCTCAGGCTGCCCAGTATCCCATCCACTGCATTGGGTACCTCCAGGGATGGGGCACCCACAGCAATCTGGACAGCATGTATCACACACAGATATCACATTTACTATTCTAAATCCCATTCCTTCCCATGTTTCAAGTATCACTAGAAAACAAGAGAAGGAGGTTGGTGTCCACCATGCCCCTGCTCAGCTCCCATTCCACTGAGCGGAAAGGCTGCATCCCAGTGCCACAAGAAGTCATCGCCTGCAACAGAAGGGCCTTCCTCACCAGCTTACATCAACGTATTCGTTACGTCGTCACGCCAAAAAACACAGCTCTCTCCCTCCCTCCTGCACACACGCACTCTCACACTCCGTTTAGATGTAATTACATTAGGAACCCGTTTGCCAAGCGCCATTCAGAATACCTCAGAGCTTATTGAATTGACAATTGCACTTGATGGGGATGAAGCGATTAATCGCTTATGAAACACTAAACAATGGGGCCTGAGGGTGAAGTTCCTTTTCCATTTGCGCTCCATTTATCTCCTTCTGCATCATATAAAGCCACCGCTATTAAACTCCATTCATAAAATTGTCATTTTTTTGGCTGAGAAAACACCGTCTGTATTGATCACGGCCCATCAAAAAGCAAAACCAAAAAAAAACCAACACTCCACCAAAACACTCCCTGTGCAGTATGCAATAATACTGTTACCTGCTCCAGGGCACGAAGTGCCAAGAACCAGACTTGGATCCACTCGGATGTACACTGGGTGCCTCCAGGTGAACAAGTGCAAGGAATAAACCTCAGCTCGCAACCATGCCTTGAACTGTAGCCAAGACTATGGACTTGCAGCATGCTCATGCTCATCACTGTGGTCCAACATATTTCATAGAATCAACAATCATTTCAGCTGTGAACCTCACCAAACCTGCGGGTCTTCCTGGCTCCCCTCACTCCCAGCCATGAGTGGCTCAGATGGATAGAACACCCCACTGAAATGCTCCCAGCTCAGGTGGCAGCAGGAGATGAAGCTCAGGTGGGTTTACAGCAGGAGATGAAGCTCCTGGAAGGCCCTTCATATGAAGATGTGGCTCTGAGGCTCTATAGGGCATGAGGCACTGAAATGAGAATTTGCTCACTGTCCCACATACTCAGAAATTAGGCTTTCCTATCCTTTTCCCTAGAAAGCGATGCTCCCTTCTGGCTCCCGCTGCCTCCCACGTTTCTGGGGACTCAGCATCAGCCCCAGGAGGAGCTCCCACACCCGCAGGCAACACCAGTACCAATGCAACCACCATGGGATCCCCACTGGGACAAAGCCACCCCCATTCCTGCCCCAGAGCTGGGTGTTCGTGGGCAGCCACCCTGAGCATCCCAACACTTCCTTTGCATGCTCCCAGCCTCCACTATCATTATTTCTGCAACACCATAATTTATGTGGCATGAAGGAGCAATATTCTGCTAAATGAATTCTCAGCTACTCCTTATCCTGGTTTGAGCCTATTCACTGCACAGGGAGGAAAAATAGCTGGAGAGCCACCTCTCACAGAACAGAGACCTATTTCTGACTAAACTGCACTCCGCTGAAATCAATTTGCCGAAACAATAAATCCTTTTAGCCTGTGTAGTGTACCTGGAGATGAAACAGCTCACGAACAAAGACTCATCAGGGCTGCAGGCTGGGCCATTAGTCGATCCACAAGCCATAAACCTCAGAGTCTCTTTTTCAGCATAAAAACTGAGTAAACAAAACTACTGCTCCGTTTTCAAGAAACAAAACAAAAAAAACACTTGTGAGATGATGCCTTTGAAACAGAAGGGGTAAAAGGATGCAGCTCCTGCTCAGCCCCAGGGCTGTGTCCCAGGGAACCCCACAAGGTCAGGCGGCGATGCACAACCCAGCGTGCACTCCTCAGTGCTCCCCAGCCCTACAGCTGCTGCTGGTGAACCATCTGCAGCCCCGCTGCGCCTTCCTGCCCTGCACATCTGCAGCCCAACAGCCTCCCTCAGCCCACACTGTGTTTGGAAGATGGGCCCGTTCCTCATTCACCTCGTATCGACCTTATTTACAAACAGACCCAAAAACGTGGAGTGGGACCGCTGAAGCGCACGGCACCACGCAGCCTGCATGAGCTGAACACAGGCAGTGAAACTTGGAGATATTTTGTCACAAACACAGCCTGCTAATGCACTTAAGAGATTTACAGGAACCAATTATCACCCTTTATGCCACCCACCGACATCAATTATTGCTCAAATTTAAGACGATGACAAAATGTTTTAGAAGCCACTTCATAATCTGCTGTCTCTCTCCTCTAATGCTGCGCACTGACAGAGCTGTCCTGGAGCACTCTGATTAAAGCCTCTTCACTCCACCCAGCAGCAGCATGCCGAGGATTGCTGGGAACTGCTGCAATTACTGCAATGAATTTATGGAAATAGCAGAACAACGGCTTGACATAGAAACTGATTGGGCTGAGGAACGTGAAGGCAACACGAGTGGTGGAGGGCTCGGTGAAGCCTTTGTACATCAGCTGCCCCTCCTGTTTGTGGGATGTGGGGAGACACTTGAAAGGGGAAAGCTGGGCTGCTGAGTAAAGGAAATGGAACCCACTACAAAAGGGACAGGGCTGTGCACATCCTCCTGTGTGATGGTCTTGGGAAATGCCTCCCGGGGATAGGCAGCCCCTTGATGCTCCAGTCACAGCAGCCCCATCACAGCGGTCCCATCATGGCAGTAGTTCCACTGCAGTATTCTCTGTCTGGCTGCACCAGTATAGCATTGGGTTACTTCTCTACAGCCAGAGCACGGCAGGAAACTGCATCCCAAATCTTAAAAATACCAAAGCAACGTCACACGACAGATACTGGAGTGGCTGTGCACGGAGCACAGTGATGGGCACCTGCAGGCGGGTGGCACCAGCTGGGCACAGCTGTGCTGGGGTGTTATTGGAGATGTCCAACCTGCAGCCCTGCCCTAGGGATCCAACACAACGCCTTGGGGAAAACGGGTCCCACATCCTGATGGGACAGCCCTGGGCAGGGCGTCCCTGCTCTCCTATCGTACATTTAACAGCAGTTTCTGCTCAAGCGAGCTTGCCTTCCCCACGGTTCCTCTGCCTGCCCGGGTTTATTGCACATCTACTTGACCAACTTCACCTCCGCTGAGGGAGGCATGATCTAATTAGTACACAGACATATCTCAAGTATGCAGTGATGAATTCCCCCTGGAGCTTCAAAAGCAATAAATGTGACCTTTGCATGTTCCTGCCATAAAATAACAGGAACACCTCCAGCTCCCAAGATAGAAACTGTGGTGGGCATATGTGAGCAGCATACACCATATGGATTAAGTCAAGGGAATACTTAGAAACTTCTATTCTGCTTTCAGCAAAATTGATTCCGGCAACGTTTTTAGCAATTTCTTTAGGATTTTCCACATGTTTTTATGAAGTGCTGATCACTGCAAAAGGATCTTTCAGCCCAGTCTTTGAAGTCTCTCTAGCCCCACTCTCACAACAGCTTTGTATTTAGCAGAGATCATAACATATAGCATAAAATCCTAATGAAAAAAAACAAAGGCTCATGGCATGGTTTCACCCGGAAAGGGCAGCCCTGTGCTGCCAGCAGCAGCGTGTGCATAAAATGGTTCAGGGTTTCATTCACACAACCTCAAGATCCACTTCTTGCACTGTCTCCTATTGCAGCAGCAACAAATAAAACATTCAGGCTCGCTTAAATATTGATTTTACCCCTAGCACTCAGAAATCCTTTAAACAGTGCATTTCCATCAAGTACAGTCCCAGCTACTGAACCACATTACTGGTGGGGATGGTTTAGAAGTATTTAAAACCATTTTATGAGAAAAAAGACTTTCCCTTTTCAGAAAGGCTGCCCACCTAGCTCAGAGTGGAGCAGCAGCGGCAGATAGCTGCAGCTATCTGAAGGTTTATCTGATCCCAGTGATAAAATTCCATCTCAGAGGTGACCTAAAAAGGACTGGAAAAGGCATGTGCTGTGCTCAGTGATCAGCGCTGCACTGGGATGAGCTAATAGGTGTTTTCCAGCTCTCCTCCCCACCGCTGCTCAGGAGCCAGTCAGAGATCACGCTCCTTCTTTGTCATTGAATACTTTGTGGATGACACACTGTGCCCATGAACTGCCCAATGACAGCAGCTCAGCTAAACATCCAGGAGGAATTTCAACTTCTGCATATCTCTTCAGGCTGGGAGATAACTTCTGACTTCTCTGAATTGGGGGAGAGGCTGCAGCTCTCCAGTTAAGTCATGTCAATGATCTCAGAGATTAGCAAAGCTGGTTTGGAAATCTCAGCATGTCATTAATGTCGAGGGCTTCCGGGAGAAAGCGCTATTTACGGATCACCTCCAGACCACCCTAAGCACGTTGCAGCCCTCTGCGTGAGGTGATGAAGGGCACAAAAGCTCCATTTCCCACCTGGCTGAGCACCCGATGGCCCCTGCCCTGAAGGAAGCAGAGGCTGAGCCCTGGAAGGCCACAGACCTGTGCCTCACATGCTCGGGGCACTGCAAGAACTGCGCCAGAGTCAGCCCTGATGTGCACGTGGGAGGGCTGGGGATGGGGAGAAATCATACACAGCTTTGGGCTGCAGCCACATTTGCAGTAGATTTCACACAGCAAACACTGTTTTCCCAAGCTGCCAGCATATTTCAGGCTCACACGGTAATTACAGAGCTCTTTTAGCAACAGGAATGGACTGAGGAATCGGCTGATGGGCAGTGAGTCTCTTCACATTACCGCTGCTGCAATCCCCTGGGCTCATTACTACCATCCATAGTTGTTATTACAGAGGGCTCACTAGACACTGCAGTCCCAGTTCTGTATGGATACCCCCACAGGACCGCTCTTGTGAAATCTCATTGCCTGATGAATGACAGAGCTGCAGGAACAAAATGCAGCTAGCTCAGAACTGCAGAGAGCATTACTGGCAACGCACTGGCTGCATCCTGACATCAGATCCAGGTGCATCTGTCTGGGTGCTGTGTGTCCATACACACGCAGTGCCAGCCCAGCACGCAGCCTGCACAGAGCCAGGTGCAGCACAGGAGCTGCTCTGGGTTGGTACTCATCAGCCCCACATTGCACAAATGGGAAGGATGCAGCCAGCACACATCTGGCTCTGCTGGAGCATCAGCAACCCGCTTCCGCGGCACCGGCCCCGGCTCAGCCTTCAAGTGATCCATCAGCCAGGGAGCCCCACATCTGAAAACCATTTCAGGCATTGTGTTTGTAACCAAATACTTTGAAGAAATAAAGCGAGCCAAGTTTAACCCAACCGAGCTGGACAAGGCAGTTCTCTGCCCACTGCCTTCCTAGAGACTAAAGGAGTGTGTGCGAGGGGAACTGAAATAGATACAGAGCCCCATCCTGGAGCCCAGAGATGCCCCTGACAGCCACCCAGTTTCGGTGGGAGGGGGACCCACAGAAGCACCACTTGTCTTTTTTGGGAGCACCGATTGCTCTGCTCTGCCTGAAGGCTCAGCCTGAGCTGCAGTGAACCAAAACTGAGGTGTGTAGTGACGGAGATAAGGCTGCTAATAGAGGCCCAGTTAATGAGGACAATGCTGATTGCGACCTGCCAGTTACACAAGCTCCACAACACCAGGTCTGTCCTCTTCAGCAGTGCATCAGGTCTGTTCAAGCACTTGATAATGTGCTTGTCTCACCCTTGAAGACTGTTGGAAGTGGGAGCAATGGGCAGGCACATTACAGCCTTCATTGCACTCAAAAGGCGAATGTTTTATTGCTTTGTTATTCTTACCTGTATGGCAGCAACCACACCACAAGGACTGGGAAATCCCTCCAAGCCCAGGTAGGACTACACACCCAAAGCCCATGCCAACAGACCATGCACAGCACAACGGTCAAATTCCCAGCCCAGTTACTTGCATTCAACCAAGACGCGTTGATGATAACTTTAAACAACATAATGCCTGCTCAGTGGCCAGCCCTGCAGGACTCACCCATCTCCTTCAGCTCCATGTTCACGAGCTCCAACCAGCAGGCATCCAGCTCATCCAGGTCGTAACGGCTCATGCCCTGCAGGTACGTCCTCGTGGCTTCTGAAATCTCAGAGCCCGGCAGGCTGCTGGGGGACACTGGGGAAGGCAGGTTCTCCAGCTGGGGTATGATTCTGGAAGAGAGGAATGAGAGTTTGAGAGACAGTTACAAAGCATCCCCCTGGGAGCCCAGTGGCTGTGTCTGGCCATGAGGGTGCACTTATGGCACTGATAGTCTGACTCTAGGAATGAGAGCACGGCTTGAGGCAGGAGGGAGATGAAGCACTGCTAAAAAGGTGAAAGGAATCAGCAGTGAGTAACTTAAAGCGTTCATTGCTAGCTCCTGAGGAAAGAGGAGGGGACCTGAAGGGTTGAGGCTGCTTCAACCAGCAAGAAAACAGCTCTGTCTGCCGGGAATGGAGCTGTGCGGCTGCCATCACACCAGAAAGAGGAGGGGTTGCTGCGTGCCAGGGTAAACTGGACACAGCACCAAAACAAACGGCTCAGGCTCATTTTTTCATGAACAGTTTTGATGTCATCAAGGAGGAAAAAAACCAACATGTAAAACCAGAAAAATATCCACTTTTGACTTTGATAAACAGTCTGTTCCCATGGGCAGGGAGTTTGCACTTCACCTGCCTGCTCTGCCCACACAAAGCCATGCCAGCTGCGATGACCATGGGAGACACAGACAAAAAGTGCCCCTATATAGACTTAAATAAGCACAGCTCATACAGAGGATTGGCTTTTACTGATCTGGAATGAAGCTTGTTCTGCTAGCTCACGCCTCCATATGCCTCAGCCTCTATCAATCAGTCTCATCACATTGATCACTACAGAAATAACACTGGCACCACTGCCACATTCAGGCTTTAACATCATGCCCCACTCCTCCTAAAGCCCCTTGGATGCTTTTCAATGAGAACCAACCTCTCCCACTCCCCCATGCTCAGCACAGCCCTGCGGATCACAGCCAGGATCAGCGGCCGGGAGGCTTTGTGTCGGGGTCTCTGCAGGAACCCTCTCACTTTGCAGGAGTTACATGATTTCCCTTCATGCTGTGAGAAATTAAGCCACTTTTACACTTTGCAGGGATCCTTGCTCCTTCTCTGCCTCACGAGCACTGCTGCATGCCTACTGCCAGCAGCCTCCCACGTGTGTCCTCCAGTGCCAAGTGAGCCAGCATGCCCGTCCCTCTGAGCTGGGGGTTTGCTCTCTGCCCCCTCCTCAGCAGCATGCAGACAGCTGGGGCTGGGCTGGAAACGCCAATGTCAACCAGCTGCCTGCCCAGAGAGCCAGCCCTGGTGCTCATACAGCACCAACAGCATCTGCACAACACAGCACTGAGAGCACAACTCAGCCAGCCAAGGGAGAAGTACCCTGAAAGGTCATTTCCCTCTGCCCTTCCAAATCATATCCATGATGAGCAGCTTTCCTCCTGGCAATAGTTTTCCCATTACTGCTCACTGACTGGAGCACAATGAAATGAGTGCTGGGCTGCGGGGGTGAGATGCTCAAGGGCAGCCCTGATTGCTCTGTGCAGGCCTCCAGCTCCTGTTTCTGCCCTGGTTTACGATGCCTGCAGCCCCATGCCTGCTCATGGAGATGTCCCACATCCCATGTCCCACATTCCATGTCCCACATCCCATGCTGCTCGGAGCAAGCACACTGCAGCAGCACCGACTGCAGGCTTCCTGCCCAGCACTCGCTGTCACTTCGCCTGCGCTTCTTGGCAAGTCAGCAGCAACATGGATGACACTTGCCATGCACACGTCAACAGTGTCACGCGTAATGACATGCAAGCAGAGGACGAGCTGGAAATAAGAAGCAGCCTGCGGTGCCAGATGACAGATCTCCGCAAAGCTGGGAGCTGGAGCTTGCTGCAGTATTTGCACAGCTCACGTTTCTGCCCCAAAATATCACCTGACAGCCAGACGTCAACACAGAGAAATGCTGCAAAGAAACACAGTGAACAGCACCGCCGTCCCTTCCCAGCTGCTGCTCTGCCTGGAGCAATGGCTGTGCAGGGCCTGGGGCTCCTGCACCACCAGCATCAGGTTCTGCAACTTTACACGACTTGCTGAGATCCTCAGCAAAGCACCCAGCCTCTTCTGCTTTCCTTTCCCCATCAGTGGATTGAAAATAACGATGCTCCTCAACACTCTGAAGGCAGCTCCTCCAAATCTCAGCTGAGGATTGGAAAGTAAAGCCATGAAAGCACAGTTCTGTGAGGCTCCAGACTTTAAAATGAGCTCGCTGTAATCTAGGACAGGGCTTGGGGATTCAGCAAAGTCTGTATTTAATGTATTTAATGCAGACAGCGGTAATAACACTGAAACTATGTGTGTTCCCAACGAGCTTCAGGACTCTCCTCCAAGGAGCTCCCAGCCCCATTAAATACCCTGGAGCCGCGTGCTCCCAGCAGAACTGATACTCTCTGTCCCATGAGCCATGATCAGGGCGGTTTGCAGAGCACCAGGCCCTGGGCTGAGCAGCAGCAGGCTCAGCACAGAGGCTTGGAGTCAAAAGCTCTGAGCAGTGGAGAAAAGACACCCAGGAGCACTGGGCACTCCTTCAGAGCTGTGCCTCCTGACCTCCTTAATCCCCGTTACACAAGCAGCCTGTGGCACAGCCCTGCAGCAGGTACTCGAGGTGCGTTGCCTGGCTTTGCAAAGAGCTCAGTGATGCAATCACAAAGCTTCATGTGGGGATTGATGCTAACAGCACTGCTGCTGAGTATGCCTGGAGTGTGGCTGCTCCCCACACTGCAAAGTGAAAAGGGTCTTCTGCTCACTGCGCAATGCAACTCACAGGGCTGCTCTTTGCTTCAAGACCAAGTTAATGAAAACACAAAAACCTAACGGTGCCCCACACGCTTGCTCAGCAGCAGCATCTGAAACATACCTGGAGCAGCAGTGCCAAGCACCTCCCAGACCTGAAGAACAGGTCCTGGGTAGCTTGTAGTCAAAGGCTGCATCCATCACTCATTGGTCCCATAGGAGTGAGCACTGATACGGAACATCTCTTACATACGGTTTCAGCAGCTGAAACAGCACTCCTAAGAAGCAGCACATTCCCTCCTGATACACTAATATACATGGCAAAGAGCTTCTTGTTACTCAGAGTCACAGAATCACTTGGTTTGGAAGGGGCTCTTAAAGGTTACCTTGTCTCACGCTCCCCTGCAATGAACAGGGACACCCACAGCTCAACCAGGTCCCTCCACCTCTCTGGGCAACCCGTGCCAGCACCTCACTGCCCTTACTGAGGCACCCAGCAGAGTAAGATTTTTCATGGAGCACACGGACACAGCAAGAGGTGCAGAGGCTCTGTGATGTGCAGAGGATGCTGAGAGAAGAGACAAGGAGCGTGACCCCGGGCTGGAGATGGGAAGTACCACGGGGCCCCATGAATCATAGCCAGAGCTGCAGAGTGCACCAAAATGGGAAGATGGGCAGGAGGTGCATGACAGCAAAGCAGGAAACAAAAATGAAAGCAAGCAGGAGTTTATGCCTTGATTTAGCAAGGTAGCATTTAAAAGTATTTGTATCAATCAAGAGCTTATTTAAACGAAGGGCTGAAAATTGGGATCAGCCAGAAAAGCACAACAAACCTGAGGCCATTAGTCTGCAAGTGGGTCTCAAGGGCACTTGAGGGAAAGAAGTAAGTGGACCCCAACACTCTCGAGGATCACATCTATCCTGGGAGAAGATTATGTGGTAATAAAACACACTCAGCCAATTCCCATGGTTAATCATCTCTGCAAACGGAATGCTTCAGTTTGGCTGAAGGGAGAAGGCTTTTTTTTCCCCTATATTCTCCCTTTTAATACACCAGATAGAAATAATAAATAACCCCACACAGCACTTCCCTTCCGAAAATACTTTGCCTTATGACAATGAAGGCTTCAGCCACTCATCTTCTCACTACCTACATTCCAGTCTAAATTAGTCCTGTCCAGTGTCCATAAATAAATCAGCTTAGGAAAGTCAGTGGAAAGATAATTCTGCCAGCAACCTTCAGAGGATGCTGATCCTGCTGTGCTGCCAGCTCTGCTCGCGGGGGAATTCTCCTGCAGCACACTCCAACTTTAAAAAGGCATTCTACAATTTAAAGGGATGATTTTCATTTTCTGTTTATTAAAATAGTATCCAGAAGGCAGTCAGACCAGACGCCCAAGCTTCTTACCAACTTAAGCTCATGGATTGTATAAGCACTGTTGCTTCCGAATAGCGGAGCAGGTGTGAGAAAAGGAGCACAATGGTGAATGGGTGACAGGGCTGGGGGCTGCACCACAAACAGCACTCTGTGACCCTCCATGTGCCCAAGCCCTGATTTATTAATGGTTGTTATGCCACCTCTATGGCTCCTATGAAAGTCTGTAACACCATAAGCCAAAAAATGATAGTCTGAAAGCTCAGTGCTTTAAAAAAAAAGAAGGGAAATCCGAGGAGATATGACAGCAGTCAGGCTCTACATGACCTGGCCTGATGTTGAAAGCAGCACACAGGTGGAGGGGAGGCAGCTGGAGGAACATCTCTGGGATGTGGGTGCAGGTCCCAGCAGGTGGCTGAGGATGCTGCCCCCGTAGCAGCACAGTGTGGGAAGTGTTCCCACCCAGCTCCCACACCAGAGGACTCAAGATTTGGCAGCTGTCCTTGCAAACACGTAACAGAGAGAATCAGGATCAGCTCAGGGGGGCAAAGGTGGGGAATGCAAACCCTCGGCCGTGCTTCCCTCTGCTGTGAGGCCAGCCTGCTGCCAGCACCTTACCAAGCACATTTCTAGCAAGAAAATCCTTTCCACACAGACCTGCCTGGTACATCTACATGGCAGTGAGCAACTCCCTGTAACTGCACCGTTTGTCACTGCTGCTGCTGGGCTGCACGGCTTTGTACCTTCAATTCCATCCCTGCGGTCCCCAGCTGACCGAAATCTGCACTGCAACTGAAGACTGCGGTATTTTTCCTTTCTGCCTCCCTCTTGCTTGGTATAACCCAAACCTTCAGCAAAGCACTCATTACAAACACCTGGGCACGGTTACATGCATGGCTCAGCACTGAAGCTCCTGCCTGGCTCCTTGCTGCTGTTTCAGGGGAACAAAGCAGTTGGATTTAGCCCTGGGTGGATGCAC